CAAGGCAGTGTGAGGTGTAGCCCACAGGCCTGGAGGAAGGGAGGAAGAGGGGATTGGGGCTGGCTTCCTGGAGGTGGCATTAGAGCAGGGTCTCCAAGGATTGCTCCCACATCCCCAGGGAGACATGAGGAAGAGTACCTTCTCATCCAGGCCGAAGCCTCCTGGAGGCAGAGCCCCATGCAAGGTGCTGGGGATTCAGAGGCAAGATGCCTTCTGGGGGAAGCTCCCTAGGGCAGATCTGGATTTCAGGTCCGGAGCTTCCACCAGCTCCCTGGAAGTGGCAAGAGCTTCGGCCCCAGAGTCAGAGGATCTGGGTCTAAATCCTGCCTCCTCTGCTTATTCCCAGTTGTGCAGATTTAGCTCCTTCAGCAGGGCCCTCCACATCTGGACCTCAGTTTCCCCAGCTGCAGAATAAGAGAGCTGGGCTTGATGATCGTTCAAGGGCCCTCCTTCTGCAGTCTTGCAGGCCTCTTCGAGTTCTTAGAGAAGGGAGGGATCCCTGGGGACAGCAGTGGCCTAGGAAGGCTCCCTGGAAGAGGTAGCCTTGAGCTAGGCCTCAAAGGAGAAGGAGGATTGGAGGGGATGGGGGGAAAGAGGTAGCAACAGCCTCCCTTGACCAGCTGAGGCCAGTTTACCCCTCAGGGTGATAGGTGATTTTCTCCCTCTCTCCTGGGCTCAGCCCTGTGATAATACTATCAGATCCTCTAAAAGGGGGCAGGGAGTGGGTTCAGTTTTTTACCAGTTCAGGTTCCGTTCAGGTTCATGTGTACACACACACGCACACACACACGCACACACACACACACACACGGAATCCAGCTGAGCATCAAGGGCAGTGCTTCCTCCTGACCCGACACAAGGCCATTAGTGCAGGGAGCAGCTTGGCCAGGCTCCCCTCTTGCTCTCCCCGCTGCTAGGCTAGAGTTCAAACACTGAGAGATGGGGGTGGGGGAGACGCCAGCTCAGGACCAGCCAGGCATTCAGGGACAGGAAGTTTTGCTGAGACTTGACTCAGACTCCTCATAAGCGTTTATAGCCACCCCCTAAAGAGACTGGGCTGCTTCAGGAGAAAGATAAGATGGATGGATGGATAGATAGATAGATAGATAGATAGATAGATAGATAGATAGATCACTCCCAATCACTGGAGGTCTCCAAGCAAGGGTGGATGGTCCCTTGTCAACAGTGTTACAAAGTGGATTTCCTATAGATTGGGTCACATAGATGTCTCTTCTCATTGTTCTCATGGAATCATACATTTAGGGGCAGCTAGGTGGCTCAGTGGATAGATCAGCAGCCCTGGAGTCAGGGGGACCCGAGTTCAAATCCAGCCTCAGACATTTGACACTTACTAGCTGTATGACCCTGGGCAAGTCACTTAACCCCGTTGCCTAGCCCCCCCCCCAAAAAAAATCATACATTTACAACAGGGATGGACCTTCGGGTTATCTAGTACAACCCCCTCATTTTACATTAGAGGAAACTGAGGCATACAAATGTTAAGTAAGTGGCTGAGCTAAGGTTTTGAGCTGAGGTCCTCTGCACTCTCTGCAGGGCCCCTTTCCAGTCATTCAGTAAGCACTTACTATATGCCAGGCACCGTGTTTAGGGCTGAAGATACAAAGAAAGGCAGAAGAGCTTACAATCTAATGAGAAAGACAACATAGCGCTAAGTATTACAAGCACGCTGCGTGCAGGATACATGGGAGATGATTAGCAGAGGGCGGGCACTAGAATTAAGGGGGATCAGGATCTTCCTGCAGAAGTGGGGTTTTAGCTGGGACTTGAAGGAGCCAGGAGGGGGAGATGAGGTGGGAGAATGTTCCAGGCATGGAGGAGAGCCAGAGAAAATGTCTGGAGATGAGGGTCTTCTTCATGGAACAGCGAGGAGGCCAGTATTGCTAGATCAAAGAGTACGTGTTGAAGAGTAGATGTAGGAAGACTGGGAAGGTAGGAGGAGGCTGGGTTATGAAGGGCTTTGAATGTCCAACAGAGCATTTTGTGTTTGCTCCTGGAGGCAGTAGGGAGCCACTGAAGTTTCTTTAGGAAAGGTGTGATGTGATCAGACGTGAGCTCTAGGAAGATCACTTTGGTGGCTAAATGGAGGATGGACTGGAGTAGGGAGAGGCTGGAGGCAGGCAGACCCCGCCCCCCAGCAGTATATTGTAATGGTCTATGTGTGAGGTGAGAGGGTATGCACTAGAGGGGTGGCAGAGTCAGAGGAGAGAAGGGGGCGTGTTCCAGAGGTGTTGCAAAGGTGAAATCAGCAGGTCTTGGCAACAGCTTGGATGTGAGCAGTAAGAGATAGTGAGGAGTCCAGGCTGACTTCTAGGTTGGGAGCCTGAGGGCCTGGGGGGATGGTGTTGTCTTCTCTAGTAAGAGAGGAAGTTTGCAGAGAGTGTCTTGAGGGGTAGAGATGATGAGTTCTCTTTTGACAGGTTGAGTTAAGGGCGGTCATAGAAAAGAAGGAATCTTCACTGCTGCCTAGACCAACCATCTTGTTTTACAGGTCGGGGAACCAAGGCAGCAAAGGAATGCCCCACATGAGTCAGGGGCAGACCTGGGACGAGAACCCAGGCCCTCGACTCCCAGGCCGTGGCTGATTTTTACTGTTACGCTGCTTGGCCTTTTACGTTCAGCAATGTATTCTTTCAGCGAACATTTGGTGGCACAGCGGATAAAGCCCTGGGCGCGGAGTCAGGAGGACCTAGGTTTGAATCTAGCTTCAGATACTTGCTGGCTTTGTGACCTTGAGCAACTCTGGCTCAGTTTCCTCACCTGTAAAATGGGGATAATACTTCCTTGTACCGATCTACATCACAGGGTTGCTGTGCGGGAATGTTGGGACCTGTACTTAGTAGCAGCAGTAGTAGTCCAACTAGACTACTGGGAATTCCCTTCTCGAGTTCACAGCCTGGGTTTTCTCTTCTCTGTGAAGGCCTTTGCAGAGTGAGTGCTCAGAAATGTCAGCATTTCTGACTCCATTTCCCTGCCTGTCAAGCCTGCCCTGTTTCCCTCCACAGCCTGAAATGAGCGTGCATTAGGAGGGGCCCTGGCCCCCATGCCCCGTGGAAGTATGAGGTGCTAACAGGCCTCATCCAGCTTGGGTTGTGAAGGCTTCCTGTTGCATTCTCTCCCCTCTCCGTGTACACATGTATGATATTTTATACATATGTGTACCTGTGCGTACACATGTGTGTGTGTGTGTGTGTGTGTGTGTGTGTGTGTGTGTGTGTGTGTGTGTGTGTGTGTGGAGGGGTGTGAGAAGCACCCACCCTGTGGAGCACCAGGGAGTGTTGATGGGTTCTGTGGGCAAAGCTTGACTTGTTGCAGTGTCCGGAGCCATTCTTTGGGCGACTGTGTGGGGTGGGGGCGGAGAGGCGGAGGAGGCTCCCTCCTTTCCCTTCTGTTCATCCTTGTTAGGACGGCTGGGGAGCACCTGTCCTGGATCTCTCCCAAAGCATCCTTCTGGAGCCTGGACACATTTACTGACCTGGCTGGCCAGCCTGAGGCCAGATGCCCTGCATGGTCCATGGTCTGGTTGGGGAGACAAGAATCACACTCCCAGAAGGGAGAACAAGAAAGGGGCTCTGTGGGATCAAGGGTGAGGGGATGAGGCTCAGAAAGAGGAGGGATTGAGGGAGAGAGGCAGAGATGGAGACAGTGGGAGGGAGGAGAGACAGAGAGGAAATGTGGGCAGAGTAGTTAGGGAGGGTCTCCTTGAGGGCAGGGGGCCTAAGCTAGGCCGCAGAAGAGGAGGAAAGACATTCTGGGTATAAGAGGGTACCCACAGGCAGCCCTAGTATCTGACACAGGGAGGGCAGACTTTGAGTGATTCTGTTTCATAAGCCTGCTGGGCTGTGGAAGGCCATCAGAATCTAGGTGCCCACCCCCACCCCCCACTATACTGCAAGGACCTTGACCAGGGAAATGAATAGAACACAAAGTGTCAGGGGCTAAATGGAGAGAATGGTGGATTTGGAGTCAGGTCGGCCTGGTTTTGAATCATTCTTCAGATATTTATTAGCTGTATGATGCTGGGCAAGTAATTTAACTTGGTGTCAGTTTCCTCATCTGTAAAATGGGAATAATTATAGCACCTATCTCACAGGGTTATTGCAAAGATCCAATAAATAATATTTATTAAACACCATGCAAACCTTAACATATGAATGTTAAATACAGAGCATATTTTGTCAGAGCTGGGAGGGCCCTTAGACTACAACATGTCAGATCCAAGAGGGCCCTCAGAACATGGAATGCCAGAGTTGGAAGGGCCCTTAGAACAAAGGATTGTCAGGGCTGGGAGGGTCCTTAGGACATGGAATGTTCTAAGCAAGTGAGGATCCTTCGGGACATTGACTGTTTTGGTTTTTTGTGTTTGTGTCCCCAACACTGAGCACTGTGCCTGACACACAGTAGGCATTTAACGATGGCTCGTCAATTGCTTGGCCGGCTTTAGGCCAGACATGGGTAACTGGAGAGTGTTGACCGTGGCGGACGTAGGGGGGTGGTATGGTGGACATCTTCGGGTGTTTGAGGGGCTTTCCTGTGGCAGTGGGCTTCATGGGCTTCGCCCTGTTCTGCTCAGGCCCAGGGAGCAGAGACAGGAGCCACTCTGGGGAGCCAAATTCAGGCGAGAGGTCAAGGAGAAGCACCCAGCTGTGAGAGGAGCCCCCAGTGGAATGGTGGGGTGCCTTCGGAGGTAGTGGGAGTGTCTAAGCACAGGCTGGCCTCTGGGGCTCCTCTCAATTCCTGGGGCCTTTGATGCTGTCCTTAGCACCTGGATTATCAGAACTAGAAAGGATCTTTGAACCTGGGGCCCAAAGAAAGTTAGAAGTGGCCAAATAGACCATCTCACCCGGGCTTCTGTGCCCAGGCATGGCATCCTGGCCCTGGTACATAAGGACATGGGGTCCTGCAGTCCGGCCAGGGATTGCCAGGCCCACTGATCCGGTCCCTGCCCGCTGACTTTCTCCTGCTCTCCTCCTCCCTTGCAGCTGCCGCAGCGGCAACAGGAAGAGCCTGGTGGTGGGGACGCCCTCGCCCACCCTCTCTCGACCTCTGTCCCCACTCTCCGTGCCCACTGGTGAGTATGAATGGTTCTGGAGTGTGAGCTGGAAGAGGCATTGGAACATGAGATATCAGACTCAGAACAAAAAACACAGGACCCCCCTCCCCCAAGCCCTCTTCACCCTCTCATCCCCATCTTGGGGGGTCTCAAGGCCGAGTGGACATCACGAACACCAGGCAGAAGGCATGCCCTCGATGTGTGGGGAGGGATTGGTATCAGAGCTCCATCACTCAGTTTCTCTTCTCCATAGCTGGCAGTAGCCCCTTGGACAGTCCCCGGAACTTCTCGGCCAGCACAACTGCGAACTTCCCCTTCACACGAAGGTGAGTCTCCCTGCTGTGGTGATGAGGCCTGGGAGGGGGTGAGGAGAAAATGCCGTCTTTGGGAGGGGAGGGGGTTTCCTTCACACTCCAAGGATCCTGAGCCCAGGGCTGGAAGGGACCTCAGAGGTCATCTAGTCCCAACCCACCCATTTTACAGAAGAGAAAACTGAGACCCTGGTGGTGCAGTGATTTGTTCAGGGTCACACAGGGAGTTGGAAGAGCTGAAGGTAGAACTCAGGTGTCCTGCCTCTCTGTCTAGAGCTTTTCTCAGAATACTTCCACCAAATCACCTTCCTCCTGCTCCTTGGGAGCGCCTTGGTCTGCACCCAGAGCCGGTGAATCCACTGCTGTTCCCTAAACCCAGCTTTAGGTGATGTCAATGCTGAAGGTTTTTCCTGCAGCCCCAAGTGCAGATAATTGAGAGGTGGCTGTGCTTGCCTGCCTGGGGGAGGCCCCAAACCTCAAGTCCCGTCTTTCTTCCTCTGTCTGTCCCCATCCCTGACTCTGTGCTCCCTTCTTCTCTGTCTTTCCCCTTCTTGGCTGACCCACTGATCCTCGTGCAGTCATGGCCCCCGGACTGACAGGTAATTTTTTCCAGGAATTTGGTACGGGCAGTTTCCTTTGGTGGAGCAGAAAAGGGATGGGGGATGGCACATGTGTATGGGAATGGCTGGGAACAGGAGATGACTTTTAACGGTGGGGGGTGGGGGTGCTGTGGGAGTCACATTTCCAGCATGAAGGAAGTCAGCTGACACCCACCCACCCCCCACCCCCGCCCTGATCTGAGAGCTGCTTCCAGAACCCTAGAGTGTCGGCTCCCTCAAGAAATCCCTGCAGGGGAAGTCTTCCGTGAGTCTGTTAGAAGTGTCCTCACCTCCTCCTAGCGCCTCAGAAGAGGCTTCTCAGAGCTGATTCTGGGCCAAGGAGGAGGGGTGGAGGTGGTAGGGGGAGGGGGCGTTCTTTTGGCTCCAGGCGGGGGACAGGAGCTTCCCGGGCCTGGCTGCTGCTGCCAGGGAGCCGGCTTCTGGGCTTGCTGGGGAGGTGAGACCTGCCAGCAGCCAGGAAGCAGTCGTGCAGCCAAGTGAGACAGATTGGGTTTCACCGCTGAGGTGCGTGTGGTCTTGGCATTAAGTCCTGCGAGCTCCAGGAAGAGGAGAGATCATCGGCGGCAGCAATCTGGGCAGGCCTGCTGGAGGAAGTGGGCTGCTACCCGCTCACACGGCTTGCGGATCTCCTCCGGTTGGGGCTGGCCTGGCAGCAGAATGATCCCATTCGGTCCTTCCTGGCTTTTTCTCTCACTTTCCTCCCTCTGCATTTTCTCCCCTCTTCCATCTGCCTGTTCCTCAGACCCTCTGGGGTGAGTGGCATTCCCAGAGTTTACAGGGGTCTCACTGGTCCTTTCAGGAAGCCAGCCCAGCCCATAAGAGCACAGGGATGTGACTCCTCCGGTAGACTCAGGATCCCAGGACCGGGTGGCACCTCAGGGAGCCTCTAGCCTGACCCAGACCTGTACGGTCATCATCCCCTCTGCAGCCCCCACAGGCAGTCCGTCCCCAGCACCAGCTTGGATGCTCCCAGGGATGGAGACCTCACCCCTTCCCGAGGCAGCCAGGTCCGCTTGTATAGAGCTCTCCTGGTTGAGAAGGGTTTTCTCCTCCCAATCTGGAGGGAGCTGAAGTCTGCTTCTCTGGAACCCATTGCTCCCAGTTCGGCCCCTGGGGCCAAGCAGAGCCAAGCTCATCCCTCTTCCCCTCAACATACCTATACTGTTGTCCCTTCTCTGCCCCCACCTCGAGCCTTTTCATTTCTCTCTTTTTTTCTTTTTTTCAAATTTATTTTGAATTTATTTTTAGTTTTCAACATTCACCTCCACAAGATTTTGAGTTCCAGATTTTTTCCCCTTCTCCCTTCTACCACCCCAAGACAGTGTGCATTCTGAATACTCCTTCCCCTAATATCCCCTCCTTTCTACGCCCCCCTTCTCTTACCTCCTTCCCCTTCTATTTTCCTGTAGGGCAGGATAGATTTCTATACCCCATTGCCTATATATCTTATTTCCCAGCTGAGCCTTTCTTTTCATTTCTCACCCTCATTTCCTTCATCTGATCCCGCTGTGGTTAGGTTTCTAGGCCCTGTCCCTCTCGGTCACCCTTCTAGATAGGCTCTAGGTTTTCAGTGTGTCCCAGCAGAAACTGGATGACCACTTGTCCTAGATTTTGTTTAGGTATGAGTTGGATAAGAAGTCCTCTGAGATTTCTTGCAGTTGTGTGCCTCAGTTCCCCAACTGAACACAGAGCACTCAGTGGGGTCTGAACACACCCTTCCCCCACCGCTGCCCCTGGCCTGGCTGCCAGCCTTCCACGAGTTGTTTCTTCTTCCAGGGCTGATGGCCGGAGATGGTCACTCGCATCCCTCCCCTCCTCTGGCTATGGGACCACTACGCCCAGCTCTACTGTTTCGGTAAGGCCCTCTGGGTTCCCTGGCCGGGGGTGGGGGGTGGGGGGTGGGAGGGAGCACCAGGAAACCCGGGTGGGGGGTGTCTGGAAACCCCCGACGCCTCTGCTCCCATCTCCGAATTTGAGCTGTTCCCCTATAGACTTTATGAAGCATCTCATTTCCCTGTCTGGCACCTTCTGTGACCCACACAACTGTTTGCTGAGGCTCACCTGGCAGGGACTCGGGAAGTGAAAACATCTTAGCCAAAGCCACGTAGCAGACAAGTGGCAGAGCCAGAAATGGTTAGACAGATGAGGGCACTGAGGCCCATTCAGCATATGTTGGTTTTTTTTTTTTAAATTTTTAGGCATTTGGGGTGAAGTGACTTGCCCAGGGTCACACAGCTAGTAAGTGTCAAGTGTTTGGTCTGAGGTCAGATTTGAACTCAGGTCCTCCTAACTTTAGGGCCAGTGGTCTATCCACTGTGCCACCTAGCTGCCCTCTCCATTCAGCATATTTTAATTGATCTATCTGTCATTTGCTCAGGGCAGATGAAGACCCGACTTCAACAATTATTAAGCACTTACTATATACCAGGGGGAAATGAAACTGTCCCAGCCCTCCAGAAGCTTCCATTCTACCGCGGGAGTAAATAGCACATACACAGACAGCTAGGGCCCAGGCCGTGCCTTCACGGGGCTTACAGTCCAGTGGAGTCTAGTTGGAGTAAGACTTGTTAGGAAGTGATTTGCTTAATGGGTTTCGTGACAGTGGGGGCGCGGAAAGGAAGTTCCCCCAACTGTGCCATCACCACCAGGCCCTGTCTGACCTCAAGGTTGGGCTCCTGGCCCCAGGGCCCGGGTGGCAGGTGAGCCTGAGGCCCACAGCTTTTCTCTCTTCTGCTGCTCAAGTCCTCCTCGTCCTCCCGAGAACGGCTTCACCAGCTGCCATACCAGCCAACACCAGATGAGCTCCACTTTCTTTCCAAGCACTTCCGCAGCTCGGAGAGCATCGTGGATGAGGATGGGGGCCGCCGCTCACCCTGCATGCGGCCTCGCTCCCGCAGCCTCAGGTGACTGGTGCTGGGGCCGCTCTTGTTCGTCGTCTTGAGCCCTCCCCACGCTGTGGCCCCAGGGCCTCGTCTCTGTCTCAGATGCCCAGAGATCTGAGCCCTGGCAGGGCAGGACTGTAGTTCCTTCATGGGCCAGTGAAATTTAGTGGGACCCCAAATCTGGGGGTGGATGTTGGGTGGGGAGGAATGTGGGTGGGAGGCTGCAGTCTCCCACCCAGCCCCTTGTTGCTTGGCCTCATTTAGATCAGGAGAGACCTAGTATATGAGCTGGTATTATTTCCCCTCTTCCAGCCCTGGGCGAACCTCAGGAGCCTTTGACAGTGACATTGTCATGATGAATCATGTCTACAAGGAACGATTCCCCAAGGTTAGACTCGCCGGTGGGAGAAGGCCGCTCGCCCGCTGAATCCTGGGTGGAAGTGGGGGAGGTGGCCGGGGAATGTTCTGCATTCTGCCTGGCCCCTGAGGGCAGAACGAGGAGCAGGTGTAGGGGAGACAAAGGCAGAGAGTGCAGCTTGATAATACGGGAAAACTTCCTAATAATTGTAATCATCCAGAAGTGGAACCAGCAACTTTGAAAGGCAGTGAGTGTCTCACTGACAGTCTCCAAGGGGAAGCTGGAGGACTCCTCATCTGGGATGTTGTCGGGGAGATACTTGCTTAGGAATGAGGGGGGTGATGTGTCCTTCATAGACACATCTGGATCTGATGTTCTGTGGTTCATGGAACATTCCCTTCCTACCCTGGGTTATGGGGTAAGGCCAGAACTGCAGGTAGTTGTAACAGTGCTTGGGGCAAATTCAGTTAAGAAATGGAGGCATGGTTATCCTGGGAGCTGGGAGGCAACCTGTCCCCCAGACTGTGGTCTCCATGGGAATTGGGAGGAAGGTAGGCCCTAGGTGGGGAAGCCAGAGGAAGGTGGCAGGCCACAAGATATGGGAATGGAAATTGAAATGGAATGGAAGCACCCCACCCCCCAGTATCAGCACCCTGGGGCAGAGCCCCATTTGTCCCACATCGGTTATGGCTCTGCAGAGAGTCTCTGTGCCTTAATGGGCTGGAGGAGGCAGTACCGTTGGGATCCTTTTCTATGGTCGCTACTGGAGTTCAAGCATCCTGTTTTCTCTAACAGGATTTCACATGTACGTAACTGTCTGTAATGGGGTTTCTTAGCCTTTTTTTATGTCATAGACTCCTTGTCAGAATCATGTTGATAAAGGCATAAAATATATTACATAGGATTACAAAGGAAACTAATTCTTTTGAAATCCAGCTATCAAAATTTTTTTTTAAAAAATACCATTCCTAACCCCCTTGGGGGTCCATGGGCCCTGGGTTAAGAAGCCTGTTCCACATGCACTGTCCCCTTTGTCCCTCACAGTGCCCCAGTGAGGTAGGGAGTGTGAGTGTTGACATTCCCATTTTAAATAATATGAGAGGAAGAAACTGAAAAGCACTCCATCTAACGTACATTTATTACATGTTGTGCATTATATGTCCTCAGTGCTGAGGGCAATGCAGAACTGAATAAGACAGCATCTCCCTGTCTGCCGTGGAACGGAAGAGGTTAATACACACAAGGGGAGAGGAAATGATTTGCCAAAGGTCACTCAGGTTGTAAATGATGAAGCCAGTAGATGTGACCTCTAGGACCATTGAGCCCAGCCTCTTTATTGAGGAAACTGAGGCCCCCAGGGAAGTTGCTTTGCCCAGGTAACCCACCAGGGCTCCGATGTAAAGCCTACTGTCTACCCCCTTCTTCCTCTGGTCTATGTCCCCTTCCTCATCCTCCACTCCTTGCACAGGCCACTGCCCAGATGGAGGAACGGCTGCAGGACATCATCACCACCTTCTCCCCCTCCAACACCCTGGCCCTGGCTGATGGCGTCCTCAGCTTCATTCACCATCAGATAGTGGAGCTGGCCCGGGACTGCCTGGCCAAGGCTCGGGAGGACCTGGTCACCTCCCGCTACTTCTTGGAGCTCCAGGAAAAGTTAGAGAAGATGCTGCAGGATGTGAGTGTCTCTCTTCCTTCCCCTTTCTTCCTTCCCCTCTTCCCTTTTCTCCTCCCTTCTTTCCCTTCCTCTTTCCTCCCTCTTTCCCTTTTCTCTTCTTCTACCTTCTTTCCCTCTTCCTTCTCTTTTCTTCCCTTTTCTCCCCTCCATTTCCTCTTTCTTCTTCCCTCTTTCCCTTCTACACTTCTCTTTTCCCCTCTTCTTCCTCTTTCTCCTCTCTCTCCCCTCCTTCCTTCCTCCTTTCTCTTTTTCCTCTTCTTCTTTGCTTCTTTTTTCCTGCCCTCCCTTCTCTTCCCTTGTTCCCATTCTCTTTTCTTCCTTCTCTGAAACCTCCAGGTCAGGGGAAATGGGCAGGAAAATAGATCCCTGAGAACCTGTCAGAAAAGCCAGGAAGGGGCTGGAGGGAGGTAGGGAATCATCCTTCTATGGAACAACAGTCGCATTTATAGCATGTTTTTTTCAGAACAGCCTTAAGAGATCATCTCCATTTTACAAATGAAGAAACTTGCAACTCAGAGGGAGGTGGAAGGACGGTTTCATGGTTAAAGAACTATGGATCAGGGTTGAGACTAGCCTAGATCTCCCAGCTTCTAAGCTAAGGGCTTTCACCCTTCTGCCATGCTGTTTCTCCTCAACCCCACCTCTAGCCTTCCATAGCTCCCTAGCAGAGGAGAGGAAATGACAGATAGATCAATTAACACATGCTGAACATGTTCCCTAATCTGTCAAATGGAGATAATAACAGAGGTCCTGTCTGCTCCCACATGGGATGCTGAAGGGGTTATGGAGAGAATACTGGGCAGAGGACACCTAGCCACTTTTAAAGAAACTCCAGTGAATATGGGGGCCCTCAGCCTGCTCAGTCCCAAGAGACAATCAAGAAGTCTTAACAAGAAGAGATTTGGTGACAGCATGAGTGGGGAGGCCATCAGTGGATCCAAGAGACCCGGGTCCTGGCTAGGGAAGCCTGTGGCCTCTCTCAAGTCAACAGATGTCATTATGTGTATCTGTATATATGTGTATATTTATATGTGTATATTTACACGTACATCCATACTTTATAGATCTGTTGTGAAGCTGTAGTGTGCAGACAGCTACAGGGAAATCCCATTAGTCTCTGGTCTAGGTTTGTTCTCCCTGGCCTCGTGGTGCCGTGAAGGGCAAAATGGCTTGTTTGGAGGCAGACCCCTTCCCAGTTGGTGATGCCGTTTGCCCCTCTTCTGTGTGACCCCACAGGCCCATGAACGCTCAGAGAGCCAGGAGGTCACCTTCATTGGCCAGCTTGTTCGAAAGCTCTTAATCGTCATCTCCCGCCCAGCTCGTCTCTTGGAATGCCTGGTGAGCATGCACTGCCCGGCTCAGGTGGGAACAGCCTACCTTGGGGAAGAAGGGAGAGGCTCATTGAGCTGAGCCTTATCAGGCTGCTCACCCCGAGTGACTTGAAGAGAAGGCTCTCCCATTGGAACTTCTGTCCCATGACAGCCTGTTGTGGGAAGAATTGTCCTCACCTGTGGATTACACATAAGCCCATGTTGGTAGCAGGAAGTCACACATGTTGGATAACAGAATCAGGATGTAAAAAGGCTACACTGATCTAAGAGTTTGAATTCAATAGGTCTCAATGTAAAGTTTGGTACTTGACTCCAATAGTCACTAACCCAAGTATAAGATGTGGGAGGCAAGGCTAGACAATCAGGGAATTGAGGGGAGGGGGAGTTAGTGGACTCGGAGTTCAGTATGAAGCACAATAAGATGGCGCTTACTGTTGTATGGCAGCCAGAAGACTATATCTAGAGCCATGATGCCCAGAGCAAGGGAAGTGATAGGCCCTCTGTCTTCTGTCCTGGTCGTACCTCATCTAGATGTCTGGATGGGCCCTTGGGGACTGGTGTAGAAAGGATTCTTGTGCATATACAGGTTGAATTAGATGATATCTCAGGTCCCCTTTTGATTCTGGAATGGCTGATGCCCCTGGTATATCTGGCCTTGTGGTTGGGTTGGTGGGAGGAGACATAGTCCACAAGCATTTATTAAATGCCTCCTGTGTGCCATGCATGGTGCTAACTGCTGGAAGAGATATGGGGAAGAGGTGAACCTTCTTACGTCGATGGGACCATGGGCAAGTGTTCAGCATCCCCAGGCTTTACCTCTTTGTGCCTCAGTTTCCTTATCTGTAAAATGAGGGGATTAGAGTATATGACTTTTTAAGACCCCATCTGGTTCTAAGTTTATGATCCTGTGGCATGGTCCCTGTCTTCCTTCTGGAGCCTGGCTCACCCACAAAGCATGTCTGAGTAGTGGGCCAACAAGCATTACAGACCATCAGGGCTGGAGAAGGGCAATTGCCCCGTGGCTGAGGCGATTCAGGAAGTCTCCTTAGAGAAGGTGGTATGGGAGCTGGCCTCACAGGATGGGAGACAGGGTTTGGTTTGACAGGGTGAGATAGGAACAAGCATGGCGCCTGGCTGGTTGGATGGGGATGGGAGAAGCCTCTAAGCCGCAGCACCGTTCCTTCCTGTTGGATGCATTGTTGGCATGGGCTGGTGACCTCCCTGGAGTGGGGACTGTTCCCACCGCCTGCATACATTGGCATCTCCTCTCCAATGAGTAATCTCAGAGAATTGCTGGGGGGGGGGGCAGTGTTGAGCAGCCTGCCCACGATCACACAGCTTGTATGTGTCAGAGGAAGGACCCTGCCTAGGATTTTCCCTGGGCTAAAGGCAAGAACCTTCAGATCCATGTGCCTAGCTGCATGCTCAGCCTCTTCCCGCCACCCCCGTCAAGCACTGGCCCACTGAGCTTAGGCAGCAGTGCTAGGATTGAGGCTCCATTCCATCTGTTCTTCCCACCCTGCTTGCCAGGAGTTTGATCCTGAAGAGTTCTACCACCTCCTGGAAGCAGCAGAAGGACATGCCCGAGTGGGTCAGGGCATCAAGACAGACATTCCCCGATACATCATTGGTCAGCTGGGCCTCACCAAGGACCCTCTAGAGGGTAAGTGGAGGGAAACTGAGTCAGCCCTTGCTGAAATCCTGACTATACTAAAGTTGGGAGCTAAAAGACTTGGGTTCTAGTCTGGGCTTTGCTGTTTGTTTGCCTTGTGTAAGTCATTTTTCTCTGGTCCTCAGTTTCCCCATTTGTAAAATGAACAGGTTAAACTCTAGGAATTACTAGTTCCTGCTAAATGTGATGTTCTGTAGTCTGTGTGCTAAGGGCCCTCCCGGCCCTGACATCCTGGGTTCTGAGGGCCCTCCCAGCTCTGACATCCTGGGTTCTGAGGGCCCTCCCGGCTCTGACATCCTGGGTTCTGAGGGCCCTCCCGGCTCTGACATCCTGGGTTCTGAGGGCCCTCCCGGCTCTGACATCCTGGGTTCTGAGGGCCCTCCCGGCTCTGACATCCTGGGTTCTGAGGGCCCTCCCGGCTCTGACATCCTGGGTTCTGAGGGCCCTCCCAGCCCTGACACTCTGGATTCTGAGGGTCTCCCCCAGTGTAGACAGTTTTTTCAATAAATTTCTCAGGTCAGAGAGGGACAGAGAGAGGGAGAGAGCTGGAAGAGTCAGGGGAGGGCTTTTTTAGGAGTATATTTGTAAGCAGAGTTGAGAGCCTATGGAAAGGGAGAGACTGAAGAACCAGAGAAAAGCGAATGCCCACTGGGACATTGTCCTGGAAGAGATGGGAAGAAAGAAGTTGGGATGAAAGGACCAGTTCTGATGACTAGGAGGCTGTCTCTTCTCTGGTCAGAGGGCAGGTTCAGAGTTCCATAGGGGTAAGAAGGTTTAGGCATGAAGGAATGGAGACTGAGGAAACTGCCACCAGGACTGACAGCCTCCGTCCTAGGGAAGCAGGAAATGAATCATCTGCCATAAATGTGATGGTGAGAGAAGGAAAGATTCTTAGCGGTCAGGATGGGAAACAGGCTAAGGCAGGGATGGGGAACCTGTGGCTTTAAGGCCACACATGGCCCTCTCAGTCCTCAAGTGTAGCCTTTTGATTGAATTGGATTCAATTCAGTAGCCCTCCCCCCATCCCAGCCAATGGAATTAGGTTCGGTCAAAGGGCCACACTTGAGGACCGAGAGGCCGCTGGTTCGCCACTCCTGGGCTAAGGAGTCAATAAGGACAGCATAGACGGTGCTTCTAGCATTAGCATATATTCTGGGTTTGGAGTCAGGAAGATGAGTTCAGGTCCTGACTCGGATACTCTTTGTAATACTGGGGGTGTTACTTAAGCTGCTCAGAGGTTCAAGCCTCACTTGTAAAATGAAGACAGTAATTGCCCTGGGCCTACCTCCCCAGGCTGTTGTGAGACCCAAGTGAGCTGAGCTATATAGAGCTCTTTGCATCATTTAAAGTACTATATATTGAATTATTTCTGTCATTTTTTAAAAAATCCTTTTTGGGGTAACGGCCTTCTACATATGGCTGACAGAGGCAGCTGGTTGAGCCAGCTGACCTCTGAGGCCCCTGCAGCCTGTAGAGTCTGCAGCTCCCCAGATGCATTGCTGTTTTTCAAGGAAGCTCAGTCCTTGGAAACTTACAGGTGATGGGGGGCGGGAGGAGGAGGGGGAAGAAGCTTCCTGGGTGTATGCCAAGAACCCTGTGCTAAACAGATGTGATATGGAGGCGGCTAACTGCTGGGTGCTAGGATACTTGGCTGTTTGGCATTCTTCCTAGAGCAGAAGACTTGGGTGCTTTAATCCTGAGACTTCTAGGCCTCATGTCACTGAGGACCTACCAGCCAGTCAAGCTATTTAGAGGGTAATCAGAATCTGGAAAGTCAGAGCTGGAGGGCCCTTAGAACCCAGGATGTCAGAGCCGGGAGGGCCCTTGGAACCCAGGATGTCTGAGCTGGGAGGGGTCTTACAGACTATCTGTTCTAACTCCTTTATTTTGTAGACATAGGACCGTGGAGGGGAAGTTGATAGGCCTGCCTTGGAGGTGGGGGGGCTGCTCTCTTTCTACTGAAATCTTTAAACAAAGGGTTATAGGATTTTGAGCTGAAAGGGGCCTCAAAGGTCCCCTAGGTCAATGGTGTCAAACTCAAATTGTAAGGGATCCCTGCTGGCTGCCTATTGACTTAGAAAAGCACAAATTCACATTAGCTATGTTGTACTGTATTTTTTTTTTTGGTAAACATTTCCCAAGTCCATTGTAATCCGGCTCAGACAGTACTGGAGAATTTTGTGGGCTGCTTGTCTCCTATTTAGTCCAACCCTATCACTTGACATCCAGGGAGGGAGGTTTTGGCTTGCCCAGAGTGACACAGATAGTAAGTGGGGCCATCTCTCCTGAAGCTGGCCAGCTTTGTGCAAGAGGCATCTTTGATCAGGTCTTAGGTGGATGGGATCCTTCCACTCCCTTCCCACTGGGTCCCAGCCAACTTTAGGGTCTTGTGGTTCTGGCCTGGCCTAGGGAGGCACTGAGTGAGGGGTAGAGCTGGGACTGACATATGAGGGCATCTACCCCCTTGGGCTCTTCCCAGGCCTGAGCCAACATTCCCCTGAGCACCCGTGTCTCAGACCAGACCTCCCGCCTTCGTGTGCTGGCTTGGGCTCCTGAGGCCCCAGGCTAACCCTCACTCTGTCTTTGTCTCTCCAGAAATGGTGCAACTGGATCCTCCGGATGCCGGCTCTTCAACTGCCCCTGAAGCCGGAGACCCCCCAGAGGTGAGTGTGCCAAGGCTCTGGGTTTGAGAGCTATTCCTCCCTGGTGCCAAGGCCCAGTAACAAGGAAGAATTGGAGATGGGGGAATGGTGAATGAGTGAGGGATTGGTGAAACATATGTTGTGTCTGGGCACCAGCCATGGCTACTGGCAAACTTCCACTGGTTGGAGGAAGCAGCCTGATGTAAGGGCTGAGGGGCTGGGCTTGGAGTCAGGAAAATCTGACATCTGAGCTTGCCGTAGATGGACTTGCTAGCTGTGTGACCCTGGCCAAGACACTTACGTCTCTCAGCCTCAGTTTCTTCTTCTATAACATGGGGATAATAATCGTCCTTACCTCCTAGGTGCAAATGAGGTAATAGATGTAAAGTACTTTGCCAGCCTAAAGTTGCCTTATCACTGTGAGTGATCATTATTGTGGTGGGATCTCCCTAGCAGAGGCCGCTGATGGACAGTGGGGGATACTCAAGAGATTGTAGAAAAGGGTATTGCCTCTGTGTAAATTGTGACCTTTGACCTGGCACCTGCTTCCTTTGGAGGGAGCCCAGTCCTTGTCTGAGCCTCAGCAGGACCGGGCCAGGGCTCCTCTGGTTTGGTGTTGGGGTAGGAGTAGGCAGCTAGCTGGTTGTCACAGAGGATCACGGTTCCCAGGAAGCCCAGGCTCTGACTGCTTACACTGGGGGAAAGGGGGAAGAGAAGTGTCCCATCTTGGGGGCACGGCTCTGGCTGGAGAATCCAGGAAGGTGGGAGATGGTATGAAATGTGGTTTCCTTGAAAGACTTCAGGAAAAAATGCTGCTTGATTTATAGCTTTTCAGTTGGGAAAGTGCCAGAGGGGAGGTTCTGGTCTCAGAGCGGGGAGGGACCTCAGTGGTCATAGGCCCTCTTCTCTTCTCCCCTTGCTGATCTCATCAGCTCCCAGGGATTCAATTATTTCTCCGCTTATCATACTCAGATCTATTTTTCCAGCCCTATCCTTTCTACAGACATAATAGGTGCTTAATGAATATCTGACTGAAAAGCATTTTATTAAACACATACTATCAACCAAGCACTTTGCTAAGTATTGGGTATACAAATAAAAATCAGTCCCTGCCTTTAAGGAGTTTGTATTCTAATGGAAGGAGACAATACACATAATGCTGTGGTGGTGGGAAGGGATGTTTTGGTTTGGAAAGTTACAGGGATGGTGAGTGGAGCTGTAAGGGAGTTGATTGAGACACTCTTTCCAGGAACAATGACAGTTTCTTTGATTACTTTGATTTCCAGTAGTGGGAGGGGTGAGAGGGTGGGGGGGCAGCTGGCATGGAAAAGTCTAGAAGTGGAAGTGAAACATGGCTGCAGCCTAGGGTCTAGATGGAATGGGCAACTGAGGCAGCCTGCAGTGGGCCTGGGGGGAAATTCCTGCCGTGGAGGGGCTTGGAGTGTGGACCAGGCGTCATGGCAGCTAGAGAGGCATGGGGAGTGAAGGGAAGGGATCCCCTTTCACAGAAGCCCTTGCAGAGCAGTTGTGTGACCTCTCCTTGTGTCCTTGAAAGGGCTGGCCGATGTATTTACCAAGCTTTTGTCAGTAATATGTGAAAGATCGTGCAAAACCAGAGAAGGGTCACAAAGCTGGAGAAGCGTAAATGTGGCCCTGTTTTTGTTTTTGTTTTTTTTTAAAGGAAGAGAACAGTGTGTACACTGTAGGTCAGTGAGCTTGGCATGAATTCTGAGAAAACTCTAGAATGGATGTGAAAGAGATGGCTGGAAGCAGCGATCACAGAGAAGCAGCATGGTGGCTTCATCCCAAACAGGGCATGTCTCACTAATCTGGCTGGCTCTGAAGGAAGTGCCCCAGGTGTTGGTTTGCCTAGATTTCAGTCACGCATTAGCTAAAGTATTTTACACTCTTCTTGTGGAGAAGATGGAAAGATGTGGACTAGGTCATGATATGAGTGGTAGGATGGGTGGTCAGATAATTAGATGATGGATAATCAGAACTTGCTGGATGGCCAGATTCAGCGTCAGTATGGTGGGGGGGGGGGGAATCTGGGCTTGGCATGCTTATTGGATTTGTGGATAATGAGAAGCTGGAAGGGACAACTGACACATTGGATGATAGGATCCAAGGGGATCCTTTTGGGTATTGGTTGGTCTGGAATGGCCACTGAGGTCCCAACTCAAGCTCTTTGACTGTATGACCTTCAGTGACAGGGGACTCATTACCTCCTAAGGCAGCTTGCTTTCCTGTGGGACTGATCCACTTCTTAGAAAATTCTTCCTTAAATCTGCCTCCCTTCGAGCCCCCAATATCCCCCCCGAGGTGATCTATAGGATTTATTGGAGCTTTGAAGAGACCTTAGAGATCAGACAGTCCCATCCTCCCACTTTACCAGTGAAACAATTTGCCCAAAGGCTTTGAGGTTGTGATAGCAGTGATTCAGGTTTGGAACCTCCAGGTCATAGGACCCCCAAATCCAGAGCTGGAAGGGGATGAAGTGACTGCCCCAAGGTGACACAGGGGCAGAGTTGAGATTTGAACTCCAGTCCTCTGACTCTAAAGTTCACTGGTCTTTTCCCTGAACCATTTCTGCCCTCCGAGGCAAGGCACAAGACCAGCCTTTTGGACCTTTGAGGAAGCCACAGGATGGCCTCCCTCCCCTTCCACCTCCTGAGGGTTCCTGAGTCCAGGGCAGAGGATTTTGGGGGTTCTCAAGCAGAGGGTGCCTCTCCCCATGTTGCCCCTGGGCGTGGTAGGCACTGGAAGCTGAGGGGTCCTAGCCAATTTCTATCCGGTCTTTTCAGAACCGATCTCTCCCTGTCCCCTCCCGGAGGAAACCCTGTGAGAATGACTTTGAGACCATCAAGCTGATCAGCAATGGGGCATATGGGTGAGTGGGAGATAGCCTTGCCCTCTGAACTGTGGACACCAATGTCCTTGGCCCTAGAGCTGACAAGTAACTGAATTTATTGGGCTTCTCCTCCTGGGCGGGCCAGAGGGGCTACTGAGGCAAGATGCTGTGGGCTTTGTTAGCAGAACATGGAATGGCAGAGCTGGGAGAGTCCTGGGGAGAACCTTAAAACACAGAATGTTAGAACCCATCAGGACCTTTGAACACAGAACATAGAATGTCATGGTTGGAAAGGCCCCTTGGACTGTAGACTGTCAGAGCTGAGAGGGTTCTTAGAGCATAGATCATTAGCCATCCTCTCGTTCGCCTCCTCTTTTCCCCAACTAGGGCTGTGTATCTGGTGAGGCACCGGGAGACCCGCCAGCGCTTCGCTATCAAAAAGATCAACAAACAGAACCTAGTGCTCCGGAACCAAATCCAGCAAGTGTTTGTGGAGCGGGACATCCTCACCTTTGCCGAGAACCCCTTCGTCGTCAGCATGTTCTGCTCCTTCGAGACCCGCCGGCACCTCTGCATGGTCATGGAGTATGTGGAAGGTCAGTACTAGGCAGCTGGACGTGCTGGCAGGAGCACGCCACCTGGGGGGTCAAGACTCAAAGATTCCCTCCCAGCTGTACTCCAGACTTTCTGTGTAACTGGGTGCATCTCTGGGCCTCAGTTTCCCCATCTGTGACATTAAGGGGTTAGACTGGGTAGTCTCTAAGTGCCCCTCCTAGCTCCAACATTTTGTGTTTTAAGACCCCTCTCAACTCTGACCTTCTATATCCTAAGGCCCCTCCCAGGTTGGACAGTCTACAGTCTAAGGGGCCTTTCCAACCGTGACATTCTATGTTCTATGTTCATAGGTCCTGATGGGTTCTAACATTCTGTGTTTTAAGGTCTAATTTTTGCCTAAGGGCCCTCCAAGATCTGACACTGTGTTCTAAGGACCCTCCCAGCTGTAACATTCTGGGTTCTAAGGGCCCTCCCAGCTCTGACATTCTGTGTTCTAAGGGCCCTCCCAGCTTTGACATCCTGTGTTCTGAGGGCCCTCCCAGCTCTGACATTCTGTATTCTAAGGGCCCTCCCAGCTCTGCCATCCTGTGTTCTAAGGGCCCTCCCAGCTCTGCCATCCTGTGTTTCAAGACCCTCAGATGACAGACAGCTCTGCCAAAGGCTTTAGCAGAACAGTCCAAGGGTGGTGCTCTCCCTGTTTCCCTCCCTTGGCTCTGGCTCCAGAGAAGGCCACAGTGGCCCTGGCTTCCTGCCTCCCTCGGTCACTCTCTGTGGCCGGGGTCATTGCTCAGGCCGTCCTTCAGCTCATTCACTCATTCGTTAGGCCTTTCCTGAGTGAAGCCTGTGGAAGGTGCTGAGACGGGAGCCATTCTCCAAGGTCTGGTTGTCTTGTGGGTTCTTCCCTCCTTACCCCCTTCCCTGTGGAGGCTGGGTCGTGCCTCACCCCGCCCTGGTGCCCGGTGTTCCTGCAGGCGGGGACTGCGCCACACTGCTGAAGAATATGGGCCCCCTCCCCGTGGACATGGCCCGGATGTACTTCGCAGAGACTGTCCTGGCTCTGGAGTATCTACACAACTATGGCATCGTGCACCGGGACCTCAAGCCAGACAAGTGAGAGGAGGCAGAGCCTGGGAGGGAAGGCTGCTGGAGAGGCAGCATTCATTGGTGGGCTAACCCCGACCTAGGGTGTGGGGCCTGGGGGTGGAGCACTCTGCGTGGAACCCAAGTCCCCAGAGCAGAGAGAGAGCAGCCCTAGGGCTCCTTTGGTCCAACCCCTCGCTTTACAGATGAGGAAACCGAGGTCTGCCTCAGGGTCACACAGATAGGAAGAGCAGACCTAGAATCCAGATCCAGGTTCTAGGCTCCAGCTCCTGTTCACTTTACACTCCTCTGTTTGGGGAGAAGTTTCCTCCTTTGAGTCTTTATCATCCCTCATGGGGAAGCCCAGCTTAGCCCTTGGCTTATCAGAAGGATCTGGGTCCTGGACCCAGCTCTTAACGTTGACTTGAGATGTGTCCCTGGGCGACTCACTTCCTCTCTGGCCTGTCGAGGTGCACCCCAGACAGTCCCTGTTCTTCTTGTAGTGGAAAGAGTCCTACCCTGGGCTCCAGGGCCCCAGGGTTTGTGTCTCCTCTCTGCCCTGCCTCGCTGTTCTACTCTGAGCCTGTCCCAACCTCCCCTCCCCCACCCCAGGCTTGCTTCCTCCTCTAGAATGCCAGAGTCTGGGTCTGGATCTGAAGGACCTCTCTTCTTCCCTCTAAATTCCTGGGCTCTCTCTGCCCACGGGATGACTGTGCAGAGGAAGGAGCTTAGTGCTCGGCTGCACTTGACATTTCTCTTAATTGCCCATCAGCCCTGGGTTGCATCACCTAAGAGTCTCCGTCCTTCTCTGCTCTTCTCCTCATCCTTACGCCCCACCTGCTTCTTTCAGGGGCTTGGAGCAGATTACAAGGTCTAAATCACACCCAGCAGGGCAGCCAGGGAGGAAGAACACCCTTGCCCAGAGGAATTGAGAAATGGGTGTTCTCGGGCACCTGGGCACAGTTTCATTTCTGTGGTTGGCCCCAGGGGTCACTGAGAGCTTCCCGCCAGGGAAGACAGAAGGGGAAGTAGAGGGGGCCAGCTGTGGTTCTCGGGCCTCCCAGCCCAGAGCACACCTCCCCAGGCGTGGCTTCAGAGGTAGCTGCAGAATCCTGGGAGGGGGGTGTCATCCTGCACCTCCTTGGGTGAGGTAACACAGGGTCAGTGTCCACTCCTTCGCTCCTCAGTCAGAGACACTGTGGGTGGAAGGTTGCGGGGGGGAGACCTGAGGTCCTTCCCAGCTCTGGGTGCAGGTGCCTGGGTTCCTTGTGTTCCAAGGTCTTCATCCAAAGGTTCTATCCAAAGATAGAACCAGAGGACCAGTGGCCTAGGGGCAGGAGAGCTCAGTTCTGTCCTGCCTGGAGCAGTGGGTCCCAGCTTCCCCGGCTGTCTGAAGCCTTGTGTGGCCCCCAACGCTGTCCTTCCCCGCCGACAGCCGCGCCCCTGCCTGCTCTGTTACAGCCTCTTAATCACGTCCTTGGGCCACATCAAGCTGACGGACTTCGGGCTGTCCAAGATCGGGCTGATGAGCATGACCACAAATCTGTATGAGGGCCACATCGAAAAGGATGCCCGTGAGTTTGTGGACAAGCAAGTGAGTGTCTCCTGTTCCCTTTGAGGTTTCGAGAGGAAGGGGCTTAGGATTCCGGGGTGGGGGAGGGGGTTGAGGGTGACCAGCTAGGGCGGGAGGTGAGGCAGACATCGTCTTTTCCAAACTTCCTCGAGAAGCTTCTTTCCTGTCCACTGCCCGGCCTGATCCTGTCCAAGCCAGTGAGCATTTATTAAGCGCCTACTGTGAGCAGGACACTTCGCTAGGCACATAAACAAAAAACAGCTTATATGCTGCTGGAGGAATGCCAGGCGCATGCACACAAGTCTAGACAATCTAAGGATTTGTTCTGTAAAATTTGGATTCAGTCAAAAGGCCACACTTAAGGATGTAGAAGGCCACATGTGGCCTGAAGGCTGCAGGTTCCCCACCCTGGGGCCACATCACAAAACAGGCCAAGAGGACTGTAGAGCAAATTCAGGCTGACAAGGCAGGTGAGGGCCAGATGGTGACGGCTTTAGGCCCTGAACACAGGGGTTGGTAGTAGATCCTGCAGGCAGGAGGGAGCTACTGAAGGCCACAGATGGAAGGGGGGGTGGGGGGAAGAAGAGGGAGGTTTTCCAGCCCGAGTGCCTGGAAAGATGGTGGCGCTATTGGCAGAGAAGTTTGGTGGAGTAGCGGCCGTAGAGGGGACGCCAGGTCAGGACCATATCCCTCAGTGCCAGAGCTGGGCATGGAACATGTAGGAAGCCCTCTGCCCCCACTGGCCTGGGTAACTACTGCTGGTCAGATGATCTAATAATAATCACTCTGATGAGCCGGCCTGAGTCACTCAGGATCACAGATGGAGAACTGGAGGTCACCTTAGCTGCCTAGTCCAGTCTTTCCAGGTGAGGAAACTGAGGGCTTGCCCATGGTCACAGAGGCAGAAAGTGGCAGAGCTGGAATTCACACTGAGGTCCTGCTTGATCGATCGATTGATTGATCTCCAAGGAGGTTGAATGGTTTGCTAAAAGAGTTAACTTGCTCAAGGACCTGGGGTTTGCAACCTGGTTCTCTCACTAATTCACTGTGTGTGTGTATCTGTGCCTGTGTGTCTCTGTCTGATTCTGTGTCTGCCTGTATCTCTGTGTGTGTGTGTGTGTGTGTGTGTGTGTGTGTGTGTGTGTGTGTCTGTGTCTGTGTCTGTGTGTGTCTGTGAATGTGTATCTCTGTCTGTCTGTATCTGTGTGTGGGTGTCTATGTGTCTGTCTATATCTGTGTGTCTGTGTCTTTTTGTCTGTGTGTTCTCATCTGTAGAAGGAAATAAATATTGTTTGAGGTTTCTTCTAACCGTTAATTCTACAGTTGGCAAGGAATGTGCTTTGAGTTAGCCGTTTTTCCGAGCTTCCCCACCTTTGCCATCCAGCAGACCACACCTGGGCCTGTCTACTGTGGGACCACAGAATCCCTCCATCTACACAAGGCTTCTCCCAGTGCCTTCCCTTCTGAAGCTACCTTCCTTCTATTCTATGTATCTAGTATGTGCCTGTAACAGATGTGTTATCTTCCCCCTTAGAGTATGAGCTCCTTGAGGGCAGGGACCATGCTTTTGCCTTTCCTTCTGTCCCCATCGCTTAGCGAAGTCCCCAGCACACAGTAAGTGCTTAATAAATGCCTGTTGGCTGATTGAATGGCCGAGCAGGAGTATCTAGCCTCGGGCCCTGTGGTCTCTTGCCAAAGGCCAGGCCTCACCTGGGCATCTCTCCTTCCCCAGGTCTGCGGGACCCCTGAGTACATCGCACCTGAAGTGATTTTCCGACAAGGTTACGGGAAGCCGGTGGACTGGTGGGCCATGGGCGTCATCCTCTACGAATTTCTTGTGGGCTGTGTTCCGTTCTTCGGCGACACCCCCGAGGAGCTCTTTGGCCAGGTCATCAGCGGTATGTCTCCCTCTGGGGCTTGGGGCTCAGCTGGGGCTTTCCCCTCAGCCCCCTGAAGGTGCGTGTGAGAGGCCGTACAGTGCTGTGCAGAGCATGAGCCTGGACTTGGGGGGAGGGACAGTCAGGAGACCTAGGGCTGAGTCACCCTTCTCCCACTGAGTCACTGTGATGTTCTGGCCCAGTCTGGCCCCAGGTTCCAACTTGATGGCCAGGGAGAAGGGAGCCTTCCCACTTAAAAACATTTTTTTCAATTAACAGATTTATTTTCTCCCCCTCCAATTGGGAAAAAAAAAAGAAAGAAAACCAAAACCCCTGTAACAAATATGTGTAGTTAGACAACAGATTCCCACGTTGGCTGTGTCCAAAAGCCTATGGTTCATTCTGCAGCCTTGATCCTCCCACCCATCAGGAGGTGGGCATCCTGTTTCGTCATGGGTCAGTGGAAAGAACACTGGATTTGGGGTCACAGGAACCTAGGTTCCAGACTCAGCCTCTGATGCTTCTTCTCTGTGGGTTACTGGGCAAGGCCTTCTCTAGGCATCGGTGTCCTCATCTGTAAATTGGGTACATCTGATGTCCCTTCCAGCTCTGGAACGTAATCCATGGGGAAGGGCGGGGGAGCTATTCCAGGCTTCCTCCCAAGCTGCTCTCTTGGTTTACTGAGACCTCCCCCAAAAAAGAGAGAACTCAGCATTGACAGGGTGGGGAGGGGTATCAGGCTGGAACCTCGTGGCTGTGCAGAGCATGGCCTGTCAGGCCCTCCGGCCCCTGGCTGCACAGGATTCTTCTGCTCTTGGACAGGGCTTGGGGACCAGAGGCTCCCTCAGCCATTGCCACCCCTGCTGTGAGCTGACCCTTCCTTGTTTAGATGACATCATCTGGCCCGATGGAGATGAGGCGCTGCCTATGGATGCTCAGGACCTGATCACGAAGCTGCTGAGGCAGAGTCCCCTGGACCGATTAGGCACTGGTACGCGGCCTGGGGGTGGATGCCTGCTGCTCCCCTCCCCCAACAGCCAGAGTCTCCCCGGCTGCTGGGCCAGCAGCCTGGGCCCCGCCACCAACCCCAGTCATGCTTTCCTGCCGGGTGGGCTGGGATTGAGTTCTGTTTTCCTTCCCACTGTGTGTCCACCCCTGGAGTGCCCTTTTTCTCTGTGTGTCCACCCTGAGGGCCGCCCCCTGCTGAGCCGACTCAGTCTGACACTGGTTTTTCAGATCCTTTTTTTTTAATATATTTTTTAATTTCATTAAATATTTCTCAACTCCATTTAAAAATATTTTAACATTCATTTTTTAAAATGTTTCAAATTCTTTCCTTCCCACCCACCCTTCCCCAGCCCTTGAGAAGGCAAGCCGTATGATCTCAGTTATTCACATGAGGTCAGATCCCTCCTTGCTTAACTTGAGGCCTCCTAATGTGCTCTCCTTGAAACATTAGCCAGCTGGCCCCTCGGTCTCCTCATCTCAACAAGCAGTTGTTAGTGCCTGAAGTGTGGCAGGTGCAGACACACAGAGCAAAGAACCAGAGGGTTCCTGCCCTCAAGGAGCTTATATTCTCCCTTTTTGCCTTGGTTCTCCCAATATTTCCTACCACTGCTCCACCCTGCCCTCCTGACACTGGTCCACCTTGACCTGCCCCTTTCTGCCTGGCCCTGGCCACCTCCCACACCCCAATTCTGCTTCATTCCCCTTCCCTCCAAGTGGTTTATATAAACACAGAAACCAGCAGCTGGTGGTTGTTTAAAAAAAAAATTTTAAACCCAGAGGTTATATGCCCATAAAATCTCACTCCAAAAATCTTTCTGAAAATTGGTAGCAGCCCACTTGAGCTACAGAGAACGAGGCGAGAAGGGCTCGTGGAGGCAGGAGCCTGCGGGGCAGGGAGGCAGGATTAGAAGCCATGGGGGGGGCAGGTTGGGCTTCAGGGGCCCCTAGAAGCAGTCCAGTTGGCTTAGGCAGAGCCCAATGGCTGCCCTTGCAGGTGGTGCCTACGAGGTAAAGCAGCACCCCTTCTTCCACAACCTCGACTGGACGGGTCTCCTACGGCAAAAGGCAGAATTCATCCCACAGCTGGAGGCGGAAGATGACACCAGCTACTTTGACAGTGAGTGGGAAGCAGTTCTCTGGAGGTGTGGGGGAGGGTGTGTGCTCCCCTACTCTAGGAATCAAAACTGTATGTGTTAGTCAGAAGGCTGAAACAAGTAGGTTCTGAGGGCTCTCCCAGCTCTGACCTTGTGTTCCAGGACCCTCCCAGCTCTGTCATTCCATGTTCCAAGAGCCCTCTCATTCTGACATTCTGGATTCTAAGGGCCCTCCCAGCTCAGACCTTCTGTGTTCTAAGGGCCCTCCCATATGTGTTCTAAGGACCCTCCTGGCTCTGACATCCTGTGTTCTAAGGGCCCTTCTGGCTCTGACCTTCTGTATTTTAAGGGCTCCTCCCATCTGTGTTCTAAGGGCCTTCCTGGCTCTGACATCCTGTGTTCTGAGGGTCGTCCCATCTGTGTTCTAAGGGCCCTCCTGGCTCTGACCTTTTGTATTTTAAGGGCTCCTCTTGTCTTGTGTTCTAAGGGCCCTCTTGGCTCTGACCTTCGGTGTTCTAAGGGCCCTCCAGGCTCTGATGTCTTGTGTTCTAAGGGCCCTCCAGGCTCAAACATTCTATGCCTGTGAGTCTGCTACAGCAGATGGTAACATCTGTCCAGGGTCCTGAAGCCTCCTACAGTGGGAGGGCTGGGGGTCCCTGGGTCTTTTGCCCAAGGAGCTGTGTTTCGTTTGGCCTGGTAAGCCCCAGCCCAGTTCCCTATGTTGGCTCTTGACAATCCTCAGCCTGCCAGTCTGGGCTGTTTGGATTGCTGGATCTAGGCAGGGTAGAATGCCGTCCCCTGTGGCCAGGGCTGGGAAGCGGTTGCTGACCCGGGGCTTGGAGAGGAAGTGAGAACAGCAGAGGGGCGAACTGTCTGTGAAGAGACTGAGAGGAGGAAGCCTGGCGCTCTCTGCTTTGGGAGGGGCAGGAAATGTTGTTAACCCCAGCCTGGGGTCCATCCTAAACCGCCGGTTCCCATGGTAACAGACAGGAGTCTCTTTGATACCTCGGTATCTCTGAGCTCTCCCCTCCGTGGGGTGGTAAATACAGATCTTCAGGCTGGAGCCGGGGATCTGTCTGAGGTGTCGGAGAGCCGCTTTCTCTTCCCATTCATCCCGAAACCCTGGGAGAGGGCCTCCTCATCTCTGAGTCTCAGTTTCCCCATTTTACAGAGAGTGCTAGATTCCTGCCTTCAAATGTTTGAAGAGCTGTCCTATAGAAGAGGTCAGTCAGTCAGTCAACAAGCATTTATGAAGCACCTATTGTCTGCCAGGCACTTGAGAAAGAAAGAACAGAGGAAAAATAGGCATTAGACTTGTCCTTTCAGTCCCAGAGGACAGAATTTGGACAAGTGGATGGAAATTACCAAAGTCACAGATCCCACATCCTTGTAAACAACAGCTTCCTAGCCATTATGAGCTGTGCAGAAGTGGGCTGGGCTGTCTCTGGAGGGTGGGAGCTCTCTGTCACTGCTGTTCCACCGATGGAAGCCAGAGGACCACTTCTCAAACATGAGATTCCTGTTTGGGCCCAGGTGGCCTCCCAAGGCCCCTTGTGGCTCTGAAATCCCAGGAGTTGGGGATGGGCATCCATATTAAAGATGAAATCCTACAGCCCAAGACTGAGTTCTGGGGGCAGCTGGAGGGCTTTGGGCCTCCACGCCATGGTGCCCCTCCCTCCCCCAGCAGTCCCAAGAACCCCGTCTCTTCTGGCTGTAACACATCCTCCTGGCCCGGGGACAAGGGAGCTAGGCGTTGTCTCTGGGCGTCAGAGCTGCTGATGTCCCCAGCACTTCCAGGAAGGGAGCTACGCGTCAGGGCTCGGGGGCTTGCTTGGACGATGGCCCAATGCAGGATTTCCTGGAGCTGATAGAGTTGCACGTGACTGACTACCTGTTGCCCTCCCCAGACTCCTTGGGCCCTCGTTTAATATTTCAGGTGCGCCCGGGCCAAAGCTGCCATCCCTGCTGGTGTTCATCATCCAGAGGATGAGCCCTGTTGTGTGCGGCCTCAGAGGAGGCAGCAAGGCCCGGCTTGGCTCACTACAAGGAAAACTCTCCCTACTGCTCACAGCTCTCTCGGCCCCATCCGGGCCATCCTCCCCACAGCTGGTGAACCGATATTCCTCAAGGTCGGGTCTGGAGAGGTCACTCCCCTTGCCCTTACCTCATCCCCTCCCCACAGCTGATCAGAAAACTAAACTGGCTTCCTGTCCTCTCTCCAGTCAGATTCAGAGTCCTCCAGCGCTGAAATTCTTACATCACACTCTGGTGAGCTATCTTTCCAGCACCAGCTCTGTGCTCCGGCCAATACCTATTTGATCTGGCTGGTACTCGTGTCAGGTCCTGTCCCCTGAGCGTGAATTTCACGTGTGAGACGCTCTCCGTCCTCGCCTCCACCTTGCTTCCTTCACAGCACAGCTCACATATCTCCCCTCTTTTTGAGAGGCCTTTCCTGACGCCCGTGGCTGTCTGTGTTCTCCCCCCCCCCCCCCGCGCAGTTATCTTCTGTCCACTTTGCGTTGTGGTTTTGTCCTTCGTTCGTCAGGAGGACCGTGGTGTCAGGGAGATGATGACGTGACTTGAGATTGACTTTGACCGGAGTGAGGGAGGGATGACTTTACGTGCACATGATGCACACACGCACACACACGTACTTGCATTCACACGTCGTGTTTATTTCTGTGTCTGTATGGCATTATATCTTCTGCACAGCCCCCCCCCCATGGTGGAGTGGAAGCTTCCTGAGGGCAGAGACTGTCTTGATTGACCTTGGTATCGCCAGCATTTAGCACAATAACTGGCAGGTGACTGAGTGAGCACTCAGTAATCGTGGAACTGATGGAAAGAGCCACCTTGGGAGGGGAGTGGACTCTGTCGCTGGAAGTCTTCAGGTCGAGGGCTGACACTTTGTTGGGAATGTTATAGAAAGGATCGTTCATTCCAGCACCAGAGTTTGGATTGAATGCCCTCCGCCATCTTTGGAGTGTCCTGCCTGATCTCAGGTTCTTGCCTCTTGGTTTCTGTTGCCAGATCTTCCTCTATGAGTGTCCCCCAAGGCTCTGGCCTGGGCCTCTTCTTTTTCCCCTCTCCCGTTTCCCGTGATGATCTCATTGGTTTCTTTGTCCAGCCCCGCCTTCGCCTGACCTCCATTCTCACCTCTCCAGCTGCCGACTGAACATTTTGAGCTAGATGTCTTGTAGACAGGTCCAGAATGGAACTCATAGTCTTTACCCCCCAGACCCCCTGCTGCCAGCCTTCCTCGTTTGCAGGTGTCATCCCTCTCACTCCCAGGTGGGCAGTCAGTCGCAGGGTCCTATTGGTGCTGCCATCTTGACACATCCTGCGTATGCTCCCTTCTCTTCTTCGACTCTGTGGTGCCCCACTTGGGTGAGAGCTTCCTCACCTCACCCCTGGACTGTTTGCCGTGACTTGCTCAGGGGTCTCCCTGACTCGAGTCTCTCCCCAAACCAGTCTGTCGTCCACTCAGCTGCCAAATTAATCTTTCCTAAAGCCCAGGTCTGACCGTGCCATCCCCAGCCCCCAATTCGGTTACCTCCAAGGTCACATAGAAAAGTCTCTGTTTGGCTTTTAGAGACCTCTGTAAGCTCTGTCCGTCCTGCCTTTCCCGTCTTCTGCCTCTGCACACCCAGTGTCCTCTGCAGTTGCCATTCCCAATCCTGGAACTCTCTCTCCTCGTCTTCCTCTTCTGGCTTTCCTGGATCCCTACAATCCCCGCTCCTGCAAGAAGCCTTTACAGATCTAGTGCCCTCCTCCGAGGTTAGCCCCAATTTACCCTGTACATATTGTCATCTCCCCCATCAGACTGGGAGCTTCGTGAGGGCAGGGACTGTCTTTTCCTTTCTTTGTGTCTGTCACTTAGCATGGTGCCCATCATAGTAGGCACTTAATAAATGCTGGTTAACTAACTGTTTGACTGCCTGAGTATCTCAGTCCAAACCCTTCATGATACAGATGGGTAATGTGAGGGACCTCGGAAAGGAAGTGATTCACCCAAGGATGCGTAACCAATCAGAATCAGAGCTGGGCCCAGACCTCGGGTCTCCTGCCCCCAGCTCCCATCTCACAGGTCAAAGAGACAGCTTTATTGCAGAGCTGGGCTGGGTGGAAGGGTCTTCTGTCTTCTCCCTCAGTGATGAGTGAAGAGGGGAGGTAGGAGAGCAGAGTAGAAAAAAAGGAATTTCCCTAAGGTAGGGACCCCGGGGAGAGGCAGGAGGAGATTCCAGGGCCGGCTGTGCTGCTGCCTGCCTGGGTGGCTTTGGGCATAGAATCTCTGGGCCTCAGTTTCTTCATCTGCGAGATAAAAGAGGGTGGCCCGGATGGCCTCCAGGGTCCCATTCAGCTGTGCCCAGGGTCCATGGGGCCCTTGAAGGGCAGCTGTGAGTCAGCAGAATCCCAGGGGAAAGAAGAGGCCTCACAGACTGGGACAGGAGGCATCATCCACTCACCGACCCGTGGGCACGGCCCTTGTTTCTCTTTCCAGCTCGTTCGGAACGGTACCGCCACCTGGGCTCAGAGGATGACGAGACGAATGATGAAGAATCCTCTACAGAAATCCCCCAATTTTCTTCCTGCTCTCACCGGTTCAGTAAGGTACAGGAGGGTGCTGTGTTACGAAAGAGGGTGTGTGTCTGTGTGTGTGTCTGTGTCTGTGTAAGGTATGGGAGGTGTTGAGACCAAAGAGGGTGTGTGTCTGTGTGTGTGTGTGTGTGTGTGTGGTATTAGCCTCTTATCTTCTTAAGTCTGCAAATTCAGCACTCAGAAGCATGATTAATTCCTCTTGGGGACTTGGCCTAGGCAGCCAGTCCATCATTCAACACACGTTTATTAAGTGCCTGGTAATCTGGCTAAGCTGCCCCCGAGCACTTTTTGGTTAGACAGCAGTTTATCTGAAAGAGATCTGGGGGTTTTGGTGAACTGCAAGCTCTATATGAGTGTGATATGATAGCTGTAAACATATCTAGTGGGATCGTGGGCTGCATTAAGGGGGAGTAAGAGGGAGGCCCTGGCCAGACCACCTCTGGAGTAGTATGATCCATTGTGGGGGCCAGCATCTAGAGGAGGGCGGCCAGGCGGGAGGAGAAGGGAACCTTGGGCTCTAGCCCTAGACAGGGATCTATGGAAGGAACTGAGGAGGTTGAGGCTGAAAAGGAACAGACTTGGGGGGCATGACCGCTCGCTTCAGTATCGTGGGGGAGGGGGGATTCGGACTGTTCTGGTTGGCCCTGGCTGGGGGCAGACCCAGGGGCAAATAGGCAAATGAAGGCAAGGAGCTCTGCCAGCAGAAACAGGCTGCCAGGCTCCTCCTCATCCTCACCCCAGCCCCTTCTGATGCAGAGCCACTGTGGCCCATGGTCTGAACAAGCCACATCTTTGAGCTGAGCTGAGCTCCTGGAGAGCTGGGGCTTATCCTTTTATTCTTCGACACCCCCAAGAGATGAACTGTTCTTACATTAGTGGATCAGAACCAGGCTTTTTTTTACCCAATATTCTTTCATTTTGTCCATATGGTTAACGAGAGACATTGTAATAGAACCCACATTGGACCAGCCATGGAATCAAGGAGTCATGGGGGTCAAGTCCTGCTCTTGCTACATGCTGGCTGTGTGACTCTGAGCAATTCACTTACCCTCTCAGTGTCCCCAGGCACCTTTCAACTACAGATGAGTGATTGATCTGCCCCAGTGTCTGAGGTCCCCATCTCTTTCTTCGTCAGGATAATAAATCCTGAGTGTGGGGCAGGGAGGGGTCTTTCACTACCCTCCTCCTCTAAACAAAGAGAAGGAACAACCACCACCAGGATGGGAATGGTTGAGATTCCTTCCAATAGATTCATCTTCCCTGGATGAAATTAGAAGTCTGAACCCAAAAAAAACCTTTGCAAAAAATAAAACTTTTTTATTAAAAAATTTTTATCACTTTCATATTCAAATATTAATATATTCCAGCCCTTCCCACCCTCACTTCCTTAGCAATTGGGGGAGAAAAACAGTTCAGTAAAACTAACCAATACGTTGACCATGTCTAGTGAGTTTATACGGTATTCCATACCCGTAGTCCCCCACTTCTGCTGTGCAGAAGGGAGGGAGATGGATATTTTTTTTCTTGGTGAAGCAGTTGGGGTTAAGTGACCTGCCCAGGGTCACACAGCTAGTAAGTGTCAAGTGTCTGAGGCCTGATTTGAACTCAGGGCCTCCCAACTCCAAGGCTAGAGCTCTCTCCATTGCACCACCTGGCTGCCCCTGAGATGCATTTTCTCCACTCTTCTCAGGCTAATCTTGATCAGGATAAATTACGCTGTGTTTAGTTTCATTTACAAAAGCGAGGTTCTCGTTCCCAAAGTCCTCCATTACTGCTTTGTTGTATCGCGGAGGATGATTTGGGTTTTCAGAGTTGTTGGGTGAGTTCTGGCAGGTTCCATGTGCTCTAGAAAATGGATGAGGTTTTAGGTCACAGCAACTTTGTCAAAGTAAGTAGACTTAGTAAGTCATAGAGGGGTTGAGCAGCCCTCATCCACACTGACCAAATCACAAATCCTTGGGTCACTGAAAATGGAAAATTCTATTTTGGTTGGGGTTTTTTTTTTTTTGGTAAAGAATATTTTTAAATTTATTTATTTTTAGTTTTCAACATTCACTTCCATAAGATTTTGAATTTTAAATTTTCTCCCTCTCCCATTTCTCTCCCCCCTGCCCCCCAACAGCATACAATTCTATATAGGCACTACATATACATTCATGTTAAACATATTTTCAAAAATGGGAATTCTTTTTTTCCCTCTTTTTTAAAAAATAAATTTATTTTGATTTGTCAACAATCACTTCCATAAGCTTTTGAGTTTTAAATTTTTCTCCCCCTCCATCCCCAAGACAGTGTGCAGTCTAATATAGGCTATACATATACATTCCCATTAAACATATTTTCATATTAGTGATGTTGTAAGGAAGAATTAGAACCAATAGGAGGAACCACAAGAAAGAGGAAACAAAACACAGCAGAAGAAAAAAATAGCAAATAGTACGCTTCAATCTGCATTCAGACTCCATAGTTCTTTCTTTGGATATGGGTAGCATTCCATCATGAGGCCTCTGGAGATGTCTTAGATCCTTGTATTGCTGAGAAGGGTTAAGTCTGTTAATATTAGTCATCGCACAACATGGCTGTTACTGTGTACAACATTCCCCTGGTTCTGCTCACTTCACTCAGCATCAGTCCATACAAGTCTTCCCAGGTTTTTCTGAAGTCAGCCTGTTCATCATTTCTTATAGAACAATAGTATTCCATTACATTCATATACCACAACTTGCTCAGCCATTCCCCAAGTGATGGGCATCCTCTCAATTTCCAATTCTTTGCCACCACAAAAAGAGCTGCTGTGAATATTTCTGTACGTGTGGGTCCTTTTCCCATTTGTATGATCTCTCTGGGATACAGCCCTAGAAGTGCTGTTGCTGGGTCAAAGGGTATGCCAAGAAAATGGGAAATTCTTATGAAAGTACTTTGGCCTAACATTGAGTGTCCCTAATCATCAGAGTTAGAAAATAAACAAGCAGGGGCAGCTAGGGGGCACCAGCCCTGGAGTCAGGAGGACCCAAGTTCAAATCCAGCCTCAGACGCATGATACTCACTAGCTATGTGGCCCTGGGCAAGTCACTTAATCCCAATTGCCTCGCAGAAAACAAAACAAACAAACAAAAAAAACAAGTAGAGTGAGATTGAAAGAAATAAAAAATCTTGGATAAACCTTGGTTTCTTTCTTAACTAATTCTAAACTTATGTTGTTAAGTCTAACTGTAAACTTTTTAACTTTGAGCCAAAAGTCCTTCCCAAATATGTGTCCTTGTTGAGGCGTTTGGCCTCAAAAACCTGACCTTTCCCATCTGGCTTCTCATTTGTCACAGCCACACTTGATCTGTTTAACCAGGCTGTCCTGGGGTCTCATCAGAGAGGTGGTCACTCCATTCCTCTCCTCTCCTAGTTTTCCTCCCTCTATCCATGTATGGAGACAGAAAGGGAACTTAGAAAGTATACCCCTTCCAGCAGTGTAAATAAACTGAATTGTCTTTTTATTGTAAGGGCTCTCCCAGCTCTGGCATTCTGGGTTCTAAGGGCCCTCCCAGCCCTGACATTCTGTGTTCTAAGGGCCCTCCCAGCTCTGACATTCTGGGTTCTAAGGGCCCTCCCAGCTCTGACATTCTGGGTTCTAAGGGCCTTCCCAGCTCTGACATCCTGGGTTCTAAGCCCTCTCAGCTCTGACATTCTGGGTTCTAAGGACCCTCCCAGCTCTGGCAGTCTGTGTTCTAAGGACCCTCCCAGCTCTGACATTCTGTGTTCTAAGGGCCCTCCCAGCTCTGACATTCTGGGTTCTAAGCCCTCCCAGCTCTGGGGCATTTGGAGTTAAAGATTTACAGAATTTGAGAGTTGGGAGGGACCTAAACATCCATTGAATCTAACTCATGCTCAGAAGGAATCCTCCCCACCCAGCCCCACCTCTGCCGATCCAGTTTGTGCTTGATGACTTCCAAGGAGGGGAAGCCCTCCATATCTCTTGGTTTAGCTTTTTTTTTTTTTTGCATTTGGGGTTAAGTGACTTGCCCAGGGTCACACAGCTAGTAAGTGTCAAGTGTTTAGTCTGAGACCAGATTTGAACTCAGGTCCTCCTGATTTCAGGGCCAGTGCTCTATCTGCTGCATCACCTAGCTGCCCCACTCCATATCTCTTGGAAAGGGAAGCCCATTCCCTTTTTGGACAGCTCTGATTGTTAGAAGTTTTCCTGACTTCTAGACTAAATCTGCCTCTTCAGCTTCCTCCCTGCTCCTGGTTCTGCCCCCCAGAGCCAAATGGAACTAGCCATTTCCTCCTCCATAAGAAAGCCCTTCACCTCCTTGAAGACAGCCGCCATGTTCCCCTGGGCCTTCTCTCTCCAGGTGAAGCACATGCAATCTATAGGACTTCTTAAAGTCCCACAGCCTCTGTCCACTCTGATGTTCTGTGCTTAAACATCTTCTCAGAGAGAGAAGGGAGTCTAGTTTCTCTTCAGGAATTAGGGCGTGTTTGGCTCATGTGGAGATATGTTTTGCCTGATTTCACATGTATAATTGATGATCATATTGCTCACCTTCTCAGTGGGTGGAGAGGAGGGACAGAATTTGGGACTCAAAATTTAAAAGGAAAAGAAAATGCTAAAAATGAATAAATAGCAGTTTAAACAACAAAAGGATTGGGGGCACCATATCCTTTCTGGGCCAATGTGTGCCTTTCCTCCATTCTTTCCTGAAGGTTTATAGCAGTTCCGAATTCCTGGCTGTTCAGTCAAACCTGAGCTTTTCCGAGAGAAGCTACAGTGAAGACAAGGAAGAAAGATCGGAGAGGTGGGATCGGGGCTCAGCAGAGGAAGAGAAGACCCGCCCTTTGAGCACAGAAGTCAGGTGAGTGGGAGCCGATGGGAGCAGGCCCAGGCAGGGCCTGCCCGTGTCCCCACTGCCTCTGGGCTGGGCTTTCTTCACAGCCCACGTGGGGCAGTGGGGGCCACAGCACAGGCCCAGGGGGGCAGCTTTCTGGTCCTTCTTCCCTCTGCCTCCCATTCTGGAGGCACGAGGGCAGAAGGGCACCCCTGGCATTTTACCCAGAACCTGGTGTTGTCTGGTGTCGGGGGCCTCCTGGCTCTCTGAAAAAGTCTCTCTGAGCCTCAGTTTTTTTCATCTGTAAAATGGGGCAGTAATCCAGGTACTGCCAAGCTCATGAGGTAGCTGTGAGGAAAGGGTCCTGTAAAACCCACACAGCATTGTAAAATCACATAACAATCAAAATTGTCCAGAAATGGAACTCTGCCCATTAAGATAGCGAGTTCCTCATCACTGAAGGTGCTGGTGGCCACTTGTTGGAAATGTGATGAAGGGGATTCCTGTTTACGTAGATCAGGGGTTCTTAACCTTGTTTGTGTCCTGGGCCCCTTTGGCAGTCGGGCTGGCAAAGTCTGTAGTCCCCATCTCTGAATAATGTTTCTAAATGCCTAAAATAAAATACTAAGTTTACAGAGGAAGCCATGACAGGTATCAACATTTTATCTGAAACATGTTCACAGACTTCAGGTTAGGAACCTCTGATGTAAGAGTCAGAGAGACAGCTGGCCCTGTGGCACTTAGGTGACTCTCTCAGATGACAAGTCATCAAGCAGTTATTAAGCACCTACTGCATGCCAGGCATGGTACTGAGTGCTAGGCATCCTCAGAAAGGCAGAGGACAGCCCAGAGGAAAGATCCTCGTGTTCATGAAACCTGGAAAGGCTTCTGGCAGAAGGTGGGATCCTAGCTAAGACTTCAGGGAAAGCCAGAGGACGCAGATGAGGAGCAGAAAGCAGGGAAAAGTAATAAGTATTTTTTTTTCACATTAGTCATGTTTTAAGAAAGAATTAGAAACAGTAGGAGGAACCACAAGAAAGAGAAAACAAAACAGAAGAGAACGAAAGATCAAATAGTATGCTTCGATCTGCATTTAAACTCCATAGTTCTTTCTCTGGATGTGGATAGCATTTTCCATCATGAGACTTTTGGAGATGTCTTCAATCCTTGCTTTGCTGGGAAGAGCTAAGTCCCAAAGTTAGTCATTGCACAACGTGGCTGTTATTGTGCACAACGTTCTCCTGGTTCTGCTCACTTCACTCAGCATCAGTCCATACAAGCCTTTCCAGGTTTTTCTGAAGTCTCTCTGCTCATCATTTCTTATAGCACAATAGTATTCCATTACATTCATATACCACAACTTGTTCAGCCATTCCCCAACTGATGGGCATCCCCTCAATTTCCAATTCTTTGCCACCACAGAAAGAGTTGCTATAAATATTTTTGTACATGTGGGTCCTTTTCCCATTTGTATGATCTCTCTGGGATATAGCCCCTAGAAGTGCTATTGCTGGGTCAAAGCGAATGCACATTTTTATATCCCTTTGGGCATAGTTCCAAATTGCTCTCCAAAATAGTTGGATCATTTCACAACTCCACCAACAATGTATTAGTGTTCCAATTTTCCCACATCTTCTCCAACATTTATCATTTTCCTGTTTTGTCATGTTGGCCAATCTGATAGATGTGATGTAGTACCTCAGAGTTGTTTTGATTTGCAGGAATAAGTATTTATTGAGCACCTGCTGTGTGCCAGGCATTGTGCTAAATGCTGGGGATACAAAGAGAGGCAAAAGACAGTGCCTGCCCTCGAGGAGCTCCTAGTCTGAGTGGGGAGAGAACCTGTAAACAGCTCTGTAGAAACAAGATAGAGACAGGAGAAGTAGGGGGTAATCCACAGGAGAAAGGCGCTCACATTAAGGAGGAATCGGAACAAGCAGGTGGGATTTCAGCTGGGAAGCCAGGAGGCGGAGATGAGGAGGGAGGGCAGCAGGAGAAGGTGCCCAGAATTGGGAGGGGCCACTGGAGCATAGCAAGAAGCAAAATGTAGGAAGACTGCAGAGGTAGGCAGGGCTTTGAATACCTTCCCTGGCAGAGAAGGGGCCATCCTGCACTGGCAGAAACCCCCACGCACAGCCAGCTCCCCAGCGTCTGGGCTCGGAAGGACTTTGGCCCTGGTGCTACCTCTGAGCTCCCTCCATCCATTTGCCTTCCTCCCTCCAGGGTGAGGTCCTGGACATCCTCGGGCTCGCTGCGGCACTCCTCCTCCTCCTCTTCCCAGCCTGAGCGCAGCCAGAGCCCCTCATCCCTGAGCACCACCTACAGCCTGGACCCCATGCCCAAGTTTGCCTTCTCCTCCGAGGATGAAGGCTGTAGCCAGGGCCCTCCGAAGCCGGAGAGGCCAATTTTCGTGTTAGGGGAACCCGAGGAGCCAGTGAAAGAGACGGCCAAAGCATCTGCCCTCACAGGTGGGTGCTGACCCGGAAAATGGGTACAAGATGGGTGGGCTGGGCAAACCTCCATTCTGCCCTTTCTCCTCACTTCCCCCAAGATGAGGCGGAGGATCACTGCTGTTTCCCATTGCCCCACAATGGCTGTTGGAGCCTCCTTGCAGCCCAGGGCGGGCTGGGTCCCGCATGTCTTCTTATTCCCATTTTCTAGATGGGGAAGTTGAGGTCACCCAGCCAGCAAGTGTCAGAGGATAGAGTTGAACCCAGCACTTCCTGACTCCAGGCCTAGCCTGCTGTCCGCTCTACCACGTGTGTGGGATGGAGGAAGGGGTCTTGGCCTTCCTGGCTGATACCACTGAGAGCACTCAGGGCCTCCCCCAAGGACCCCAGCCTGTGCTCCGGCGCAAGGGTCCGCTCATGCCGATTGTCTGCCCCTGTTGCCATTCATATAGCCGACGGTTCAAGCCTCAGCCACGTCCGATTACGGAGCAATAGCACCGGAGCAAAGAACTCCACACCTCGGGGCCTGGAAGGCGGGGGGAGCCGGCGCCTCGGCGGCCAGAAGGAAACACCTGAGAAGCAGAAGACATCCGGGGGCCGGGTGCCCAAGTCGGCCTCGGTCTCGGCCCTCTCCCTTGTCATCACTTCAGGTATCACCGAGCCTGTGAACTGCATCCTCCTTCCCCCACCATCCCATCCCAGCCCACCTTCCCTCCTCCCTGTCTGAGCGCGTGGCGGAGGGGTTTTCTGGGCTCCGAGGAATCATGGCCCCAGGTGACCTTTGTACAATGCCTTGCTGCTTACAAAGCTCAGCTTAGCTCAGCACTGGTTTTGTTCAGTCCCCAGTGAGAGAGGCAGAGTGGGAATTTGTGGCTTAAAGAATCAGTCGATGGATAAACAGTTATTTTATGTGTCAGGCACTGTGCTTAGTACTGGGGATACATAAAGAGGCAGGAAGTTCTTGCCCTCAACAAGCTTACAATCTAACGACAAGAAAAAACTTGTTCTACTCGGCCTCTAAGGAAAGAACCAGGAGCAGAGGGGTAGAAGTCTCCTGAAGGGAAACTACTTAGATTTGATGTCAGGAAAAGATTGCTACAATACAAGCCTTCCCAGAGTGGAACAGGCTACCCCGGGGCGGTGCACTGCCCCTGTTGGGGGTCTTCCAGCAGAGGCTGGGGGGCCAGAGAGGTCATAGCCAGGGTTCTTTTGGGAGAAGGCTGGGGCTCAGTCTTCCCAAGCCCCGAGGGTCCTTTCTCACCCCAAAATTCTGCTGCTCTATGAAATCAGAGTATTTAGAATGGAAAAGAACTCAGGGATGACCTAATCCAGACCCCTCCTTTTACAATTGAGTCAGGAGTCCCTGAGAGGGGAAGTGACTCATCCCCGTTTTACAGAGGAGGACCCAGAGGCTCAGGGAGACTTCAGTCGCTTATTCCAGAGGTCACAGAGTGAGTCAGTGCCCAGGCTGGGGGTCACAGCCTCAGCCTTCTGACCGAGGCGCTGTGGCTGCTTAATGGTCTGCTCTGGAAATGGCGTTCTGGGCTCACGGATGAATCATGGATGAGAAAACAAGCTCGTTCCCAGCCATAAAGGGCAGAGTCGCTGTTTTCCTTCCTTCCCTGCTTTCATCCTTTTGTGTTTACATGTGGTAGTAGGTCTGTGTGGTATTTTCCCAAAGCAGAATGTAATCTCCTCCAGGGCAGGGCCTCCTCTGTTTTGTCCACGTGTCTCTGCTCGGGGTCTGGGGCTGGCGTTAACGAAGGCTTGTTGAATTGAATCCCCACAGACGACTGCAGTAGTGGGGCCCTCATGAGTCCCATCTCCCCCCATTCCCTCTCGTCCAACCCCTCCTCCCGGGACTCCTCCCCGAGCCGAGACTCCTCCATTGGCATCGCCAACCTGCGGCCACCCATCATCATCCACAGCTCTGGCAAGAAGTTTGGCTTCAGCCTGAGGGCCATCCGTGTCTACATGGGCGACAGCGATGTCTACACAGTGCACCACGTGGTCTGGGTGAGTCCAGAGAAGCTGGGTGTGATGAGGAACGTACTAGGGGAGATTAAAATGTAGAGTGTCAGCTGGGAGGGCTCATAGAACCCAAAACGTCAGAGCTTGGAGGGTCCTTAGAACAGAAGATGTCAGGGCTGGGAGGGTCCTTAGAATGCAGAATGTCAGAGCTGGGAGGGTCCATACAACCCAAAATGTCAGGGGTGGGAGAGCCCCTAGAACACAGGATGTCAGAGCTGGGAGGGTCCATACAACCCAAAATGTCAGGGGTGGGAGAGCCCCTAGAACACAGGATGTCAGAGCTGGGAGGGTCCATACAACCCAAAATGTCAGGGCTGGGAGGCTCCTTAGAACAGAAGATGTCAGGGCTGGGAGGGTCCTTAGAACACAGGATGACAGAGCGGGGAGGGCCCTTAGAACACTGAAGGTCAGAGCTGGGAGTCAGTAAACGCTTATGATTTATCTTCCTGCTGGTCTAGTGATTAGGATTTGGCACATTCGTTGGCCACAGTTTGATTCCTGGTCAGGTAACTTTCTTGCAGCTAGGTGGTGTAGTAAATAGAACACTTACTAGCTATGTGACCCTAGGCAAGTCACTTAACCCTGTTTGCCTCAGTTTTCTCATCTGTAAGATGAGCTGGAAAAGGAAATGGCAAAGCACTGCAGTGTCTCTGCCAAGAAAACTCCAGATGGGGTCATGAAGAGTCATATAGAACAGAACAACAGAACATTTATGAAGTGCTTACTATGTGCCGGGCACTGTGCTACATACTGGGAGAGAAAGGTGACAGTCTCTGCCCGTCCTCAAGGAGCTCAGAGTTTAATGGGGAAGAAGAGCTGCAAACAATGTGTAAACAAACTAAATACAAGATAAATTGGGAGTAATCCCAATGCTCAGTGCAGGGCCTGGCGCATAGAAGGTGCTTAATGAAGTTTATTGTGTCATCAGTACCTGGGAAGAATCTTAGAGACCACCTAGTGCAATTCCATTTTTGTAGGAGGAAAGTTAAGCTCCAGTTGGTACAATATCTTGTGCCCAAGGTCTACTGTCATTAGTGCTGGAGCAAGGCCCAGAACCCTCATCCCTTGACTCCTGATTTCAGGCTGTGTCTCCTGGACCATAATTGCTTTCCAAGATGTGCATAAAACCCCTCTCTGGTAACAGCCTTTGTCACTCAGACGACATGTGAGAAATCCAGTTCATTGCCTTGAAAACTCATTTCAGATGTCCAAGAGAAGTTATGTCTTTACTCCATATGTTATATATGCCCCAAATAGAATCCACCCTGAATAACCAAGAAGATTGAATATCAGTCTTGGAAATAACAGAATGTGGAATGTCAGAGCTTGCATTGACCTTACACCATGAAATGTCGGAGCTTGCATTGACCTTAGAACATGGAATGTCGGAGCTTGCATTGACCTTAGAACATGGAATGTCGGAGCTTGCATTGACCTTAGAATGTAGAATGTCAGAGGCAGAAGGACCTAGAATGAGTTAGATGGAAAGGGGCTTTAAGGACCATACGGGCCAGGAGTTCATAACTGCCTTTTGTCCTGGCTGCCTTGGGGCAGTCAGTCTAGTGAAGCCTATGCACCCCTTCTTAGAATCATGTGTTTAAATGCCTGAAACAAAATATGTCAGCTTGCAAAGGAAACCAGAAGTTAGTGAAAATAAAGGCATAATTTTTTTTTCTCTTCCAAGTTCACGGACCTCTGGCCCCCAGGTTAAGAGTTTGAATCAGTCCAGCCTCGTTTTACAGCTGTGTGAGAAATGAATATTTCTTTCTTACATTTAGTAACCAATTATTGTATTAGAACCAAGGCTTTTCCCTTTTTCTTCTTCATCCAGAAACCAACCAACGCGGGAAATATTTTTTAAAGATTTACCCAGAAAATATTGATTCTCCCTATTACCAAGGCAGGTGATATGGAAATTGATGTTTCTTTGACCAAATTTGAGTGACCTAAATCATGTACCCCAACATAGCCCATCTCCCATTTGATTAACCAATCAGAGTTTAGTAGGACCCTTTGGGAACACTCTTTGATGGGCATATGAACGGTGAACCTACCACCGTTGGGGGTCTTTGGTCTAAGACAGCCAAATGACCTTCCTTTTATTAATAACCTGCTGGCATTATTAATAAAATGATTAAATTACCCACAAACTATGCCTCTCGAACTTTTTAATAATCACAGTTAGGATAACTGAGGCCCAGTGGAAAGAAGTAATTTGCCAGGATTCTTTTTTTAATTAATTAATTTACTTTTAGTTTTCAACATTCACTTCCATAAGCTTTTGAGTTCCAGATTTTCTCCCCTCCTTCCCTCCTCCCACCTCAAGACAGCATGCAGTCTGATATAGGCTCTACATATATATTCCTATTAAACACATTTTCACATTAGTCATGTTGTAAAGAAGAATTATAACCAATGGGAGGAACCACAAGAAAGAAGAAACAAACAAAAAAAAGAAAGAAAATAGTATGCTTCGATCTTCATTCAGTCTCCAAAGTTCTTCTTTCTGGATGTGGATAGCATTTTCCATCATGAGACTTTTGGAGATGTCTTAGATCCTTGCGTTACTGAGAATAGCTAAGTCTGTCAAAGTCAGTCATTGCACAACATGGCTGTTACTGTGTACAACATTCTCCTGGTTCTGCTCACTTCACTCAGCATCAGGCCATATAAGTCTTTCCAGGTTTTTCTGAAGTCCACCTGCTCATCATTTCTTATAGCACAATAGTATTCCATCACATTCATATACCACAACTTGTTCAGCCATTCCCCAACTGATGGACATCCCCTCAATTTCCAATTCTTTGCCACCACAAAAAGAACTGCTATATTTTTGTACATGTGGGTCCTTTTCCTGTTTGTATGATCTCTTTGGGATACAGCCCTAGAAGTGCTGTTGCTGGGTCAAAGGGTATGCATAGTTTTATAGTTCTTTGGGCATAGTTCCAAAATGCTCTCCAGAATGTTTGGATCAGTTCACAACTGCACCAGCAATGCATTAGTGTTCCAATTTTCCCACATTTTCTCCAACATTTATCATTTTCCCGTTTTGTCATATTGGCCAGTCTGATAAGTGTGATGTGGTACTTCAGAACTGTTTTAATTGGCATATTCTAAATCGATAGTGATTTAGAACATTTTTTCATGTGATTATAGCTTTTAATTTCTTCATCTGAAAACTGAATATATACTTTGAGCATTTATCAATTGGGGAATGAATTGTATTCTCATAAATTTGACTCAATTCTCTATATATTTTAGAAACGAGGCCTTTATCAGAGACACTGGCTATAAAATTGTTTCCCAGCTTTCTGCTTCTCTTCTAATCTTGGTTGCATTGGCTGTGTTTGTACAAAAACTTTTCGGTTTAATGTAATCAAAATCATCCATTTTGCATCTCATAATGTTCTCTCTCTCTTGTTTGGTCATAAATTCTTCCCTTCTCCATAAATCTGGCAGGTAAATCACTCCTTGCTCTCCTAGTTTGCTTCTAGTATCAACCTTTATATCTAAGTCATGTACCCATTTTGAGTTTATCTTGGTATATAGTGTAAGATGTTGGTCTGTGCCTAGTTTCTGCCATATTTGCCAAGATTCTGCAGTGAATTTAGTATCAAGCACTTATTAAGTGCCTGCTATGTGCCAGGCACTCTGCCAAGCACCAGGGGGTACAAAGAAAGGCAAAATCCAGTCCCTGCTGTCAAGGAGCTCCCAGGCTACTGGGGGAGACAGCATGCGAACAGCTGTGTACAAAGAAGATCCACACAAGCTAGATTGGAAATGACCTCAGAGAGAAGGCCCTGAGGTTGAGATGGTGGCCATCAGAACTGGAGACTGGGCACGTTTAATTCAGTTCGGCGAGCATCTGTTACGTGCCTGTGTGTAAGGCACAGTGCCATGCCTGGGCAGAGAAAGGCAAAAGAACTCTTACTGGGCTGGGTCTCCTGCCCTTTTGTTGCCGTTTTGCTAGGTAGGGCAGTGTTCCTGCAGGCATCTTCCCCCTCTTCTCAAGAAAGTCTTGAACAGGGTTGCTTTGGGTCGCTAACCTGCCCCTCTTTCCTTCAGAGTGTGGAGGAGGGCAGCCCTGCTCACGAAGCTGGACTGCGGGCTGGAGACCTCATCACCCACATCAACGGAGAGTCGGTGCTTGGACTGGTTCACATGGACGTCGTGGAGCTGCTGCTGAAGGTATCTGCCGCCCACACCCCTGTGAGGCCTGAGGCGTCCCGCTGGACCCTGGGGACTCCAAGGCCGAGGGCACTTGGGATCAAATGGGGGCGGGCCTAGGCACATGAAGAAGTGACTGAGAGGAGGGCCACGGACAGGCGGAGGCAGGGCACTGTGAGAAACAGGATCACTTTCACGTGGGGATGAGAAGGAGCCAAGGAAGGGGGGCCTCGAGGTAGCGGCATCTCGATAAGCTGTGGAGGGACAGCAGAAGATGGGAAGGGGCAGGATTCCATGCCAGGAAGGTAGTCACATGGGCAAGGGCGTGGAGAGAGAGCAGGACCAGAGTGGCAGGAAAGTGGAGAGGGATGCGGAGGATGGACGGGGCTCTGAATGCCAGAGTCAGGAGCTAGCCATCAGCCACGCTTCCGCCTTCGCAATCTGTCCTCCAGAGCAACAGTAAGATCTCCCTGAGAACCACAGCCCTGGAGAACACCTCCATCAAGGTTGGCCCGGCCCGGAAACACAGCAACAAAGGCCGGCTGGCCCGCCGGAGCAAGAAGAGCAGGAAGCGGGAGAGTCAGGACAGGTGCGCGCTGGGCGAGGGCAGGCACGCGAGCTGCAGCGAGGCACCTGGGCGGTGGGGGGTGGGGCGCCAGACAGGGGTCCCCGAGAAGCCTTCCCAGCTCCCTTCCGTCGGAATGGCGTCCTTCTGAGATCCTCTCCCATTTGTCTGTGTCTTGTTTGCCCGTAGATGTTTGTGTGTCATCTGCCTCATTAGACTGGGAGTGCCTGGAGGGCAGGCCCTATTTTTTGAGCTTTTCTTTCTTTGTTTTTTGTCTTTTTTTCTATCCTCAGTGCTCAGCACTTTTGAGCCCTGTTAAAGACCTTACTTAGCTCGAAAAGGCCAAAGTCTCGCACTGCATCCTGGGCCATCTCCAGGTGTCCTGATGAATATCTGGCCACTGGACCCAGATGGCTCCAGAGTAGAAAGTGAGGCTGGTGACTTTGCACAGCCTTGCTTCACTGTAATCCACTTTACTTGCATGTCATGGCATCACCTCCCTGACGTCTCTTTCTTTCTTTCTTTCTTTCTTCCTTTCTTTCTTTCTTCCTTCCTTCCTTTCTTTTTCTTTCTTTCTTTCTTTCTTTCTTTCTTTCTTTCTTTCTTTCTTTCTTTCTTTCTTTCTTTCTTCTTTCTTTCTTTCTTTCTCTTTCTTTCCTTCCTTCCTTCCTACCTTCCTTCTTCCTTTCTTCTCTGTCCGCATAAGGTTTCACAACCCTGCGGGTACTCTGCCCAAAAGGGATGTGAATTTTAATCTCTGAAACTTTTTTTCTTGTTTTCATTTTTTCTCTTAAAGACCAGCCTTAACCCCAAATCACTCTGGTACACAGCCCTGCCTCGCATAAATCCCATTCATTTGCATATCATGGCATCACCTCCCTGATGTGTCACGGTCCTCTTCGAGGACGAAAGACAGACACCAAGCAACCTGGAGTCAGGCAGGCTTGCGTTCAGATTCTGCCTCAGACATTAGCTGTGTCGTCCTGGCCAAGTCTGCCTCAGTTTCCTCTGTAAAAGGGGAGTGATATAAGTAGCTCACCTCCATAGTCGCCATGAGGATTAAGTGAGATAAAATATACAGAGTTCCTTGCAAACCTTCCAGTGCTGTGTTGTGCTCGTCTTATCGTAGGTCTCTCCTTCATCTCTCAAGGTACCAGGACCACCCTTAGGTCTGAGCAGGGTTTCTAATGGTTTGGAGCTGGGGACCTGAAGGCTCAGAGTTCTAGATCTTGGGGGAAGTCACTTCCTCTGTTTGGGCCTCAGTTTCCCCAACTGTAAAAAAAAACAGGGGAGGGGGATTTTTAAAGCATTTTCTAGTTTATAGCCTGTGTTCTATGGCCCCTTCTTACTCTAGTGACCGAGCCTCAGGAAGGTGAGTGGTCCCAAGACCTTGCCCAGGACGGCTCAATTTAGGGAATTGGGGATGTTTGCCCGTGGGCAGCTAAGTGATGCAGTAGATAGAGCACCGGGCCTTCAGTCAGGAAGACCTGGGTTCAGATCTGGCCTAAGACACGTGCAAGCTATGTGACCCTGGACAAGTCACTTAACCTTGTTTGCCTCAGTTTCCTCATTGGTCAAATGAGCTGGAGAAGGAAATGGCAAAACACTCCAGTATCTTTGCCAAGAAAACCATAGAGGGAGTCACGGAGGGTTCAACACTACTGAAACAATTGAACAACCAATTACATTCCTTAACTTGTATAATCTTCAGGTGTGCATGTTGTACTGGGCCAGTAGGGGGAGCCATAGCTCACACAGTGTCAAACCTGGAGTCAGGAAGACCTGAGTTCAAATCCAGCCTCAGGCACTTAGTAGCCGTGTGACCCTGGACAAGTCTCTTCACTTCTTGGTTTCCTCATCTGTAAAATGGGGATAATTACAGCACCTACCTCTCCCAGGGCTGTTGTGAGGATCAAATGAAATGATGTGTGTGTGTGTTTTGGGTGAGGGCAGTTGAGGTTAAGTGACTTGCCCAGAGTCACTCAGCTAGTGAGTGTTATGTATCTGAGGCCAGATTTGAACTCAGGTCTTCCTGACTCCAGAGCTGCTGCTCTATTTACTGCGCCACCTAGCTGCCCTGAAATGATATTTTGAAAGTGCTTAGCACAGTTAGCTGCTAGAGTAGGTGATATAGAAATGGTAGCTGTTATTATTATAGGTATTCAGATAAGGAAACTGAGGCTCAGAGATGTTGAATGGTTCGCTTGTGGTCGCATACGTGGCCAGTGAGTGTGGAAGGTAGGATTCAAACCTGTTCTCACCTGACTCCCAATCTACTACCGGTAACTTCCCGTGATGCCACTCTGCAAACCAGGGTCTCCTCCCCTTTGTTGTATCCAGGCCCCTTTGGCAGTCAGTCTGGGGAAGCCTGCGGATGGACCCCTCCTCAGAATAAGGTTTCTAAATAATTGAAGCAAATGCCACATTTCAGGGAGCGGTTAGTGACAGTAAAGGTGTCTTAACTTCACAGATTCTCCTGAAATCTGTCTGTTGTTTGTGGACCCCAAGTGAAGATCTCCTGCTCTAAACTGTCTGTGTCTCCTTTGATTTTCACACCAAAAAACGCCTGGAAGGGACCTTGCAAAGTAATCCAGTCCAGCCTGCCTCCTTCCCTGCTTTATTTTCTGTGCAAAACACTTCCTTATGGGGTTTCTCAGAGCGAGGCGGGTGTTGGGAGGAACAGGGAGAGCGATTTCATAAGCTCTGAAAAAGAAATGAGGAATCTGTGGTTTTAAAGCGATGGGTCTTGCTCAAAATAAATCTCTGGCAGAAGTTTGGAGCAGGGCAGGGGCCCTGATTCCTCAGGCTCTGCTGGCTAACCCAGCAGGGCCATTTATGGTGCTGCCTCCAGGCTGTCTGCGATGACCCTGTACCGTCCAAGACTGCTGAGAACCAGCCTCCTCCAGAGGACACAGCTGTGCCCAGGCATCCCCCAGAATGTCACCTAGATTCCTTCCACTGCCTCTGAGCACTGGGGGCTGCCTGCCTTGAAACTTGCTGCATAACTGCACAGAAAATACAGTTTTTTTCAACACTTCAAGCTAGGGGATGATGTCATTTAAAGTAATTTACATGCAGAGATTTGCCCTGTCATAATGTAAAATGATACATTCAGAGATAGGCCTGAGAACTTGGAGTGCCAGGGATAGGCCCTTAGAGTGTCAGAGCTGGGAGAGCCCTTAGAACCCAGAAAGGTAGAGCTGGGAGGTCTTTTAGAACACAGGATATCAGCGCTAAGAATGTTAAAATATAAAATGTTAGAGCAAGAAAGACCCTTAGAACATAGAATAAAGACTGTCAGGGCTAGAAGGGACCTTTTAACTTAGAATACAGTGCCAGGTCAGAGTGCACTTAGTACAGAGAACATAGAATGTTGGAGCTTAGAGACTATCTTGTTTGGGAGTTCTTAGAGATTTTAGGATGGAAAAAATTAAATTACATCTTTATTTTCACTACCTTTTGGTTTCTTTTATAATCCTATGAATTTAATTTTATGCCTTTAAAGTCACTCTTAGAATTGATCAATCCATCTCTGGGCTTCCTCAGACCTCCAGAGGGACCCATGTCACAAAAAAGTTTAAGAATTCCAAAACGATGAGGAAACTGAGGCCCAGAGTGGGAGAGGGACTTAGGATAGTCACCTGTGTTCTGGCTTTCACAATCCCCGCGTCCGTTCCAGTTTTAGCTGGGGCTTATTTCTTACTCTCTGACATGGGCACCTCATTTGTTCTTCTCTGCCTTTGAAGGAGGAAGTCTCTCTTTAAAAAGATCTCCAAGCAGTCAACGATGCTGCACACGAGTCGAAGTTTCTCTTCTGGGCTCCACCACTCCCTGTCTTCCAGTGAGAGCCTTCCTGGCTCTCCAACCCACAGCCTGTCCCCCGGACCAGCCACCCCCTGCCGCAGCCCTGCTCCTGATGCCCCTCCAGGTACCAAGCGGCTCTTTCCTGTTTGCCTGGTGGTGTCTGGGAAGGAGGGAAGGATGCTCACTGGACTTGGGACCCACCTGGCGTTTGGGTCCACCTCTTCTTTTTCTGTTTATTTGCCAGTTTAATCGGTGTGTCCTGTTAGTGTGCAGATCTTTGTAGAAAACTCCAGATTGAGGTGGGTGGTTAGCTGTTACTAGCGGCACGCTTCTGAGCTCTGAGGATGTTTGCCTTCCTGAGCACCGTGCTCCATTCTGCCTTTTTCTTTTAAACTTATTTGTGTGGGTCTCTTGGCATGGTCTCTTGTATGCCAGCATGGACTTTAAGGTCATCCATACAAGCATTTATCAAATACCTGCTATGAGTCGGGCTCTATGCTAAGCACTGAGGAGACAAAGAAAGGCAAAAGATAGACCCCGCCCTCAGAGAGCTTACAATCTAATGACAACATGCAAAATAACCATGTGCAAGCAAGCTCTATGCAGAAGAAACTGGAAATAATCCACAGAGGGAAAGCACTGAAGTAAGAGAGATTGGAAAAGACTTCCTAGAGAAAGTGGGATTCTCACTGGGACCTGAAGGAAGCCTGGGAGGCCAGGAGGCAGAGATGAGCCGGACGTGGGAAAAAAGTTGACAAATTTATTTTCACTAAGGCTGTAACTGAAATTCCCCAAATCCTAATTTTCTTCCATTATTTCAAAACCTTATTTTGAGAGTCATTTCCTAGGCCTCACTAGGCTGACCAAGGGGCCTGTGAAACAATTAAGAATGAAGAACTTCTGCCCTCGTCCGACCCAGAACCAGATAAGAATCTCCCCCCAAACAGGGCCAGCGGGTAGCTCGCCTGCCTTTACTTGGAGACCTTCTGTCTTTTTCCTTTCTTTGAATCTCCAGTGCTTAGCATGGTGCTGGGGACGCAGTAGGTGCCAAATAGATGCTAACCAACTAACTCTAGGTAATCCAGTCAACTTTTGCATAGTTTTTTTGTTGTTGTTAGGCAGTGGGGTTAAGTGACTTGCCCAGGGTCACACAGCTAGTAAGTGTTATTGTGTGTCTGAGGCCGGATTTGAACTCAGGTCCTCCTGAATCCAGGACTGGTACTCTATCCACTGCGCCACCTAGCTGCCCCCCAACTTTTGCATAGTTTTAAGAAGGTAATTTATCATTCTCTCTTCCTCTACCCCCTAAATCCCTGATTCCTTTCACCGATTGTTATATGATACCATCCCAACCTCTTCCATTATCCATCATTCCAACCTCCAATTTTTCTACAACACTTTCACATTTTCAATGTTCTTCCTAAACCGTGGCATCCAGCACACAACGTGACCATCTCTAGATGTTGTCTGACCAGGGCAGAGTACAGTAGGCCTGACTGACGCTTCCTTGGTCTTCCGATGGTAATTCTGGCAAGACCTGAATCTAGAGCCCACAACAAGGTGGATGGATGGGGCCGTCCACATTGGCCTCATCTCCAGTGCCTGATAGCTGGCAAGATTCAGAGATTTTGTCCAAGCCATAGCTGTTCAGAAGCCTGTGGCCCAGCAGCAGACCAATACAACTTGTGTATGTCAGAGAGAGGGCTGGAACCCAGGAATTCATGAGTCCAAGGCTGACACCCCTCCTCCCCATTACACCATGGTGCCTCTCACAAGCCATCATAGCTCCTATAGGGGTAATAAACAAGACAGCAGATGACTGGCTCTGTCACCACATGTTTTAGGGTGATGTACTTGTTACCATGGATTGCCAAGCACTTAAGTGCAAAATAATTTGCTTCACTCCTGGAATTCGGATTTTCATTGCATACCATTTGAATTAGGCCTTTTGATTTCTTTCTTTTTTTTTTTTTAAATTACACATTTTTTAAAATTAATGAGTATTTATCATCTCTCCCTCCTGCCTTCCCCCTATTAAAAAAAAAAAAAGAAAAACCCTTGTAACCAGCATGCCTAGTTGAACAAAACAGATTCCCACTGTGACCACGTCCAAAAATGTGGGTCTCGTTCTGCACCCCGAATCTACCATCTAGGACTGCATCCTCCATCATGGGTCCTCTGGAGTCCTGGCTGGTCCGTACATCGATCAGAATTCTTGAGTCATTCAGTGCTGTTTGTTTTCACAATGTTGTTGTCAGATAAATTGTTCTCCTGGCTCAGCTCACGTCACTTTACATCTGAAAATGTTGTTTTCCTCATTGCTGAAAGCACAACAATATTCCTTTGCATAATTCCATGGGGGTTTTCTTAGTAGTACTTAGCGGCACTCCTTGCCATAATTGTTCAGCCATCCCCCAGTTGAGGGGACCCCCGGATGGCATCATTCTTTGCTGCTGTACACATGGTTCTTTTCTGGGGTGTGTGTGGGGCAGACCTGGTTTCTGGACCAGTTTTGATAAATCCCGTTGGCTGTGGTTCACAGACCTCCTGCCCCGTCTTCTCTCCTTGGTGCACCATTCTGTGTTCATACATCACCCTCCCCACCAACAGTGTCCAGCATGTGGCCCCTTTTGTGTCTTAAACTCTACTCCAGCTCCTTTCAGTCAATCAATCAGGACACATCTATTAAGTGCCTACTGTGTGCCAAGCACTGAGAATGGCTGGCCTGTCCTTCGCACCCCAAGACCCATGGCAGATGGAGGCAGCGAGCAGAGGCAGCTTAGAGGCGGATGGGGTAGCAGTGGCTTCAGTGCCTTCTCCTCCTTGCCACCCTTCTGTCTTCGGACAAGTCAATCCAGTCCAACCAGCATTATTTTTTTGTTTTTGTTTTTTGGCTAGCCAGTCAGGGTTAAGTGACCTTCCCAGGGTCACACAGCTAGTGAATATCATGTGTTTGAGGCCACATTTGAACTCAGGTCCTCCTGACTCCAGTGCTCTGTCCCCTGTGTCACCTAGCTGTCCCTTCTGCGAACATTTGTTATGTGCCACGCTCTGGAGTAGGTGCTGGGGGTACAGCAACAAAATGGAAAATAGCCACTGACCTCAAGAGATTCCATTCTACCACAGGATCCGGTACGTAGTACAGATAATTATCAGGGTGATGTTTTGAGGAGGGGACTAGTGCTAGGGCCAATTGGGGAAAGCATCTTGTGGGGTGCTGAACACCAAAGGCCACTAGGGGGCGCAGCGGCTGGAGCTCTGGACTTGGAGTCAAAAAGACTTGCGTTCTGATGCTGACCAGACGCTTTGTAGCTAAGGGAACCCTTCTGCCTCAGTTTCCTCATCTGTGAAATGGAGACAGTCATAGCACCTCCCTCTCCCAGGCTCGTTCTGAGGGTGAGGCAATTTTTGCAATGGGCCTTACCGACTGTTGAATGCTATGTAAATGTTAGTGATGAAGATGGCGATGGAAGGAAGCCGGGGATTTTTCAGAAGCAGGGCTGGAGGGGGGGAGTGTGTTCCGGGCACAGGAAGCGTCTGGGCAGAAAACAAGTCTAGAGAGAGAATGGGGGACAGCAGGTAGAGAGCCATTCATTCGAAACCTGGAGTACATCCAGGGAATCCTTGGGGCAATGGAGCCGAACACACAGGCCTGGGCCAGACGATGAGGGACTTTCAGTAGCAAGCAGAGGCATTAGGGAGCCACCGATTATTCCTGAGGTCTCCTTAGTTTTGTGGGCCTCGGGTTCATACGTGCAACAAAGAGACGGGACTAGATCAGGGATGGGGAGCCTGCCGCCTCAAGGCCATGGGGCCTTCTGGGTCCTCAAGTGTGGCCCTATGACCGGATCCAAAACAATCCCGGGGAGTTTTCTGTTAAAGTTTGGATTGAGTCATAGGGCCACACTTGAGGACCTACACGGCCCCATGGCATTGAGGCCTCAGGTTCCCCACCCCGGTCTAGATTATTTCTCAGGACATGTCTAGCTCTAAATCTGTGATCCTGACTTAGAACTTCTCTAGAAGCAGCTTGGTGGTGCAGTGGATAGAGTTTCAGGCCTGAAGTTAGGAAGACCTGAATTCAAATCCAGCCTCAAAACACTTGCTAGCTGTGTGACCCTGGGCAAGTCCCTTTATATCTATCTGCCTTGAGTTCCTCATCTGGAAAATGGGGATAAGAAAAGCACCTCTGCCCAGGAGGGAGGTTGTGAGGATTAATAGACAGTAGTTGAAAAACACTTAGCACAGTGCTTGGCATGTAGTCGGCACTTCATAAATCCTTCCTCCCTAAGGATGTCTCTCATTGTCCAAGGCCACCCTGTTCATTCACACATGAGCTGTTGCTTCCACTCATTGTTGAGGTGTGGTGACAAAATCACCATATCCAGGCAGCCCGCCCTCCTGAGGTCTAACCCATCCATATCGCTCCGAAGGGCTCAGCTTGGGTTCATCGGGGGAAAGGCACGAGGAGGAAGGGTCCCTGGACCCCCAGGGAGGCTCGCTGGAGAGGACGCAGCTTGTCAGAACATACATACCCTGGGTCTCTGCCTTCTCTTGGTGGCCTGGGTCATTGGGGAAGGGGCTTGGCTTGGGTTCCCACTCTTGGTGTTTCTCATTTTTCAGATACTGCATCTCCACAGAGCACTTCACCGTCCTCCAGCACTCCCACCTCCCCAGCGGGCCACATCCGGCCTAGCTCCCTGCACGGGCTGGCCTCCAAGCTAGGGGCCCCACGATATAAAGTCGGTCGCCGGAAGTCAACGAGCAGCATCCCCCCATCGCCGCTGGCCTGTACTCCATCCCCAGGACCCCAGCCCCCGTCGCCACAGAGGTCTCCATCTCCTTTACCAGGTTACCCCAAAAATCTCTATGCCTTCCAGGGTAAGACCTTGTCCCCCCCGATGATCACCAGGCAGACTTCTCGGCCGCGAAGTGCCGAGACCCCCCGATCTCCTCTCCTGAAGCGAGGGCAGTCTGCTGACAAAATCGCCCCCTCCTTGGTGGAAAAGAAGCCATTGGGGGGCCGTAAGCTCACCCTTGAAATGCCAGCAGGAGATGGGGATGGCATCGAGGAGACATCCTTGCAGGCCACCACAGGGGCTGGCAGTGGTGGTCCCGGAGACCACGGCCGGGTGAGCTGGGGGAGAGACTGGGCCGCAGACCGCCACGAGCGGGATCAGGAGGTGGTGGTCATGCGGCGCCTGAACCTCTCAGAGCGCCGAGACTCGTTCAAAAAACAAGAGGCCGTCCAGGAGGTGAGCTTCGATGAACCCGAGCCCGCGGGCTCAGGGGACGAGGACTCCTGCGGGCAGGAGGGCCAGGCGGAGCCGAGGGGGGCCACGGCCAGGGGCGCGTGAGCAGAAGCCCCCGCCTGTCCCCCAGATCGCCGTGCAGGGCTTGGAGGGCGAGGTGCACGATCCAGGCGCGGCGGAGTGGGAATGTCAGGGCTCTTATCCTCCTCTCCAGCTGCTGGCCAAGGTCTACACTGAGCAGACGGACGGGACCAAGGCAGTCGAGTACAAGAGTCTGTCATCCCAGCGGCGGAACAGCAGGGACCTCCGGGACTTGAGCTCAGGGCAGCAGCCCCCCAGGGTGGGCCGAGCCCTTCGGGGCCCCCTGCAGGCCACCAAGTCCCTGCCCATCCTTCAGCTCTCGGGAGGCCAGGAGCGGGCAGGACCTGACCCTCGAGCTCCCCGAACGAGTCCTCGAGATGCCAAGAAGAAGGATGGGGACCGGCGCTAAAAGCCACACCCGAGATGGGAAGTCACAGGAAGAGGTGCCTGCCAGCCTGTCCCATGGGGGCTCCCAGGCCTCTGCGCCCCGGCGAGGACCCCCAACCCCTGCCCATCCCACCCACTCTGCATCTGCCTCTCAGATTGAGTCAAGTCGATGCATGCGTCCTTGTGACAGGGTACGGGAGAAAGGAAACTCGCCATCTTCCAAAAGCCACGAACCTCAGGAAGAGCTAGCCTTTGGGATGTGCCCATTTGGGGTGGGAGGAGGGAATAAAGCAAAGAACACCAGACCCAGCTCAAGGAAACCACGGACCTGAACAAAAACCACCACCAGAAGTTTTTTTTCTACGAACTGGAAAGAAGTCTCCTTATTTTTGTAGCGTGCAGGCGCTGTGGGTGAGAGAAGGCCTTTCCTCAGCCGGTCGGGCACTTTTGTAAATAGCTGTGAAGGCAGATCCCTACAATTAATTTATTACTTTTATAAGCTAAGATGAGACTTGAGCACAGAGCTTCCGTGAAGGCACCGTGACCCAGGGGTGCTGTTTCCTCACCCACGAGCAAGGAACAAACCCTCTGGGTCACTCCTGTCTGGGGTTTTTCTATTTTTTTGGGTGGTGGGGGGAGGGTTTGGTTTTTAACTCTTGCCTCAAACAGTAGCGTTGTCCCAGTGCCCAGGGGTCCAGCGAGGGCTCGTGGGTGCTCCAGATCTGGCTGTGATGGAGTCAGGGAAGGGCTGGATGCTGCACAGCTGTCTCCCTCCCACTGTCACCCACCTGCTGTGGGTGGGAGGGGAAGGGGGTTCTTTCTGCTGAAGTCAGAAATCTGTTCCCTGGCCCTGCTCAAGGGTGGGCGGAAGGTCTGCCTGGCCAAAGGTGTTTGGATCAGGCTGTATGATTCAGACGCAATAGAACAACCTTCCCCTCCCCCAAAAAAGCACCCGGTTTTCTCTTTTGATGAGATGCCTACCCACCCCACCCCCAGCCCCATCCACATGCACACTCGCAGCAGAAATGTCAGAACTGCAAACTTGCCCTAAACTGTTTGTCATGGACTGTAGCTGCTAATTGTAGGCCCCTTCTCTATGTTCAGTGACCTTAAAGAAGGAAAGATTAGGGCTGGAAGGATTCTCTTCTCTCCTTCCTCTCTACCCCGCCACCCAAACTGACCCTGCATGTTTACTGTAAACCAGCACTTTGGGAGAGCCCTGGGTTTAAGCCTCTGGGGATACCTTCTGCCAAAACACAAGTTCTCATGGGATGTCAGAACTGGGGTGTGATTTCCCTGGACGGTTTTGGAGTCACTGAATAATGTCAGAACTGGGAGGGCCCTTAGAACACAGGATGTCAGAGCTGGAAGGGCCTTAGAATACAGGGTGAGAGAACTGGGAGGGCCATTAGAACACAGGATGACAGAACTGAGAGGACTTTTAGAACGTGGGATGTCAGACCTGAGAGAACCCTTAGGACACAGAATGTCAGAGCTGAGAGGAACCTTAGAATCCAGAATGTTAGAGCAGGGTGGGAGGGCCCTTAGAACACAGGATGGCAGAACTGAGAACTGAGAATGTTAGAGGTGATATAACTTGCCCGAGGCCACCTAGTGGTAGAGCTGGGCCTAGAACCTGACTAGAACCCTGCCTCCCAGCCCTGGGATCTGTTCCCTCCTCCAGCAGTGCCCCATTACTACCAGAAGCCAGCTGGAAGTTCCCCTGTGCTTTGTTTTTCTCTAGGTCACCCCTGCAAACCCTGCATCAGTATTCCCCTTCTCTGGATCCTTTGGGGCGTGGGGCTTCTGCTCTCACTCACTGGTTTCAGCCTGTGTTTCAAGTGTCTAAACTTCCAAACATCTCCTTGTGGAGAAAAAAAAGGCATGGGGACGTCTGGGAATAAGACCGCAGTCCTATAACTTAAGACATTCTTATTCCAAGATCCAAGTCACTGTCCTCTTTAATTCACCTACCTTACCTTTGTTGACATCTTTCCTAGCCCATCTTGTCAGGACCAGAGGGGTATTTTAAGCAGCGATGCCTGTGGGACCAGAAGGGAAAAGCCAGACTCCCTGTGGAATGCAGTCCAGCCTCCTCTGAAGGGTGAGAGCAGAGATTCCCATCCCCAGAGAAGGCTTCTCTTCCTGTAGGTTGGCTTGTAGGAGGCCACAGTCCTGAGCTGGGCTTTTCCCCGTCATCCCAGCTTGGCCAGAGGGAGAAGGCCGGTTTTGTTCTCTCCTCTCGCTTCTAGGGAGTCAAGCCTGCCTCATGATAGCATTAATTACACTCCAGCAGGGAGTGGGCCCTCAAAACCTCAGCTGAAAACGTGGAATTTCCACCATCCAGGATGTTAAGATTGTGGATTAGCTCTTCGGGTGGTTGTTTTTAAACTGTTTGAGATTTATTTGCGGGGTCTAAAGGGCCTGAAATTCCTTGACAGATCTCGTATACTTGGGAGTGCAGGTAGTAAACAGAAAGTCAAGAAGACCCAGGCCTTTTCTGGCTTTGTGACCTCAGTTTCCTCATCTGGGGAATGAGAGGAGTGGGCTTGATGAACTTGAAGACCCTTCAATCTCCAAATCTAGTCCTGCGATCCTCCATGCAGGTAGCCCCTCCATCAACATTGGTAACCACCCCTCTTAGTAGATGATGTTGTAGCTAAAAAATGGGTCATCTTGGGGCAGCTGGGTGGCGCAGTGGATAGCGCACTGGCCCTGGAGAACCTGAGTTCAAATGTGGCCTCAGACACATAACACTATCTGTGTGACCCTAGGCAAGTCACTTAACCCCATTGCCTAGCCCCCCCTCCCCAAAAAAATGGGTCATCTTATGGCCAACCTTAAGGTAACAGCAGACCCATAGTCCACCAACACAGCCTTTTCAGCCTGTTAGCACCCGCAGACCCCAAGGTCAGTCCTACGCCAGAAGGTTCTTACTGAATCAGCTCACTGGGGGAGAACCGAGGGTATCCCTTCTTTGGCCCCACCAATTTAAACCTCTTGGTTCCAAAGGGAACGATTGGGAAGGAGTAGACTTTGACCCTGTTAAGGTTAAGAGATGCATCTTTAGGGGCAGCTAGGTGGTGCAGTGGATAGAGCACCGGCCCTGGATTCAGGAGGACCTGAGTTCAAATTCGGCCTCAGACACATAACACTTACTAGCTGTGTGACCCTGGGCAAGTCACTTAACCCCATTGCCTAGCTAAAAATACAAAAAATAAAACCAAAGAGATGCATCTTCACTCAATAGAACCACTGGTATTTATTAAGGACTTGTGTCCCTAAGCTCATAAACAGTGAGACCAGTCCTTGCCCTCTGGGAGCTTACATTCTTCTGAAATAAACTCAGGTTTTTGAATGAGCTCATGGCCCCAAGCTCTGAGTTCTCTGCCCTCATAGCCCAAAGGAAAAGGCCATTGAATGTCAAGCTTTGGTTTTCTGGAATAGGAATGTTCAGAAAAAAAAAAATGAGGCAGGGCAAGATAAGGGTAAGCATGTATAAGTTTCCCTGTCAAACAGATTTTTGCCTTTTTAACATCTTTTTCAATTCCTTTGCCCTTGGCCCCTGTTTGAGCTTGAGGACATGCATTCTGCCCTCTTTAATTATCTGAATTCGGATAATGCTTTAGAATAATGTGAGTTCCTGTCTTTTTTCTCAGCAGCAGGGGAATAGATGGAACGAGGTTCCCCTTCTCCCTTTCAATTTGACATTTTACTTCCCAAGATGTAAAGCATCAATGGGGGTTTCCCCTGTGGTCCTTAGTGGAGCTGGAGCCAGGACTCTCCATGCTTCCCCAAACCACAGTCCGTCCCTAGGCCCATAGTCAAAGGCACGAGTGAGGAATCTTCAGCCTTCAGGCCACATGTGGCCTTCTAGATCCTTAAGTGTGGCCTTTGACTGAATCCAGATTTTACAGAACAAATCCAAAGGATCTGGACTTAAGGATCTGGACCACCTGCAGCCTTCACCACCCCTGGTCACCCCCATCGCCTCTGGTTTTCCCAGTGGCTGGGACCTAGAAGAGCTGAAATAGCCCAGGGTCAGTCTCAGTGACACCATGAGGAATGACCTTGCTTCCTCGAATGATCTGCCCATGTTCTCACCATTTGGGTACATCCATAGGAGGTCATGGTTTTGTTGGCTCCCTCCTTGGACTGTGTCTCCTACAAATTCCCGGTCCCCACCACCACTGCTGTTCCTCCTTCTGGAAGCTAGCCTAGTGCTTGGTGCGTAGTGGATGTTTAATAAAAGAAAAATCCCAGTGACCTGGAGAGAGCTTTCCTGATGGGCTCTGCCCAAGGTCATGATCGGTAAAGCGTTTATTGAGCACCCACTTAGAAGCTCGGAAGTGGGTGAGAGGTGAGCATTAAAGGCAGTCACGGATCTCATGATGCAGCTGGGCTCAGCAGAGAGTATCTGCTCCCCGTCAGCACACGGGGCTGAGTCAGGAGGCTGGGGCTCCAGGCTACGGTTCCTCCCCTTTTTTGTATGTGGTCCCCTTTGGTGTGGTGGTGAAACCTGTAGACCCCTTCTCAGAATCATGTTTTCAAATATTTGAAGGAAGCGGGGCAACCAGGTAGCACAGTGGATAGAGCACTGGCCCTGTAGGCAGGACGACCTGAGTTCAGACCCTAACTAGCTGTGTGACCCTGGGCAAGTCACTTAACCCCAATTGCCTCCCCCACCCCCAAAAAAGAAGAAAATGTCAGGTTTCTGTTAAAGGTTAGTGAAAGTAAAGATGTTTTGTTCCCATCCATGTTTGCAGACCACCTGATAAGTGTCCACAGACTCCTTGGGGTGGGGGTAGGGGGGTGTCTGTGGACCCCAGGTTAAGAACTGCTCCAGAACCAGTTCTGCCCCCACCTTACCATGGGACCTTTGGCCAGTTACTTTCTTTCCACGGGCTTTGAACTCCCTCCCCTGTAATACAAAGGGACTGGATGAGTCCGACAGTTTCTTAACCCCTTGTGTGTGTGTCCTGACACCCCTTTCTGAGAATCGTGTTTTTAAATGCTTAAAACAAAACACAGGATTACAAACAAAACTTGACATTGAAGTGTAGCTATCAAAAGACTAAGTTTAAGTGTTCACAGATGACCGATTAAGAACTCCTCATTTAACTGATGTCTTGATGGCCTGGTGGATAAAGGCTGGGCCTGAAGTCAGGAAGACCTGAGTTCAAATCCCACCTCAGATGCTTACTGGCTATGCGATCCCAGGCAAGTCATTTCACCTCTGTCTGCCTCAGTTTCCTTATCTGTAAAATGGGGATAATAACAGCACCTACCTTGAAGGGTTATGGTGAGGATCGAATGAGGTGATATTTGTGAAGTGTTTAGCACAGTGCCCGGCACATGGTAGGTGCTTTATTCCCTTCTCACCAGAGAGAGCCCCCTTAGGGTCCATCTTCCAATATGATGATGTCTGCTGTAAACTTGTTTGAATTATGGAATGGCACATCTGGAAGGGAGAACCTTAGAATTTGCATAGAACAGAAGGAACCTTAGACTATAGAATATTAAACCTGGCAAAGAAAGGTCAGAGTTGGGAGGAATCTTAAAAAGGGTTCTCTGAGCTGAAAGTGTTGACGTGTTCCCTCTCTTGAGAGGGCTTCAGGCAGAGAGGAGGCCACCGCTTCTGGGTGTTACTGTAGGGAAGAATCCAGTGAAGCCTGAAGATGTTAGCTCAGAGATTCTGAAAGGGAGCTCCTGGCCCATTCAGAGACTTGCCCAAGGCCATGCATGCTTAGGCAGCCAGTAGTAAAGTCAGGACTGGCCTTCTGGCTCCAGGTGGGGTAGTCCCGGCTTCCTGCTTCTCTTACCATGCTGACATCTCTTTAAAAAAAAGGCCCACCCCTCTTTTCTGAGAGCAGATAAAACTGAAAGCAGCAGTAATGAGGAGAGGAATCTATTATCTATTATCCAGCAACATTGGGCTTGGAATGGGGCAAGGCTGAAAAATGTGGGTGCACGTGCTAGGGGCTTCAGGACCATCTGTAGGACAAGCTTATGACAAAGCCAGGAAAGGCTTCCTGCATCTGGGATCCCTGCTACTGGGGAAGCTCAGGATTCTGAGCTGCGGCGGGCTAAGTGTGGCATTAATTTGGGGAGCCCCTGGGAGTAAGGGGTGAACCAGCTCAGACAGGAAACAGCAGGTCAGAGCCCCGCTCTGATCAGCGGTGGGATCAGGCCTGGGAGTGAGAGACCAGGCCTCAGAAATAAAAAAAAGTTTATGATAAAGGCATGTTGGCTTTGCAGGGACTTTCCAGGGCTAGTTTACTAGCATAACCCCCATGGATCTGTTTCTCTTGAGTTTCCTTTAAAACAGGAAATAAACCATTTTTAAATGATTTTTTTTCTCCTTTGAAGCCAGGTGGTTGCATCCTTTAAGGCTTAATGGCTTAGCCACAAGTTTAATCTTGGATTCTTCCAGACCTTAGATGTTTAGCAAAGCATTTATTATGGTAGAAACTAGAACCGCCCCATCCAGCCGGGGAAAACCTTGCATTGTGACGTGCGTGAACTCTCGTGTTGTGTGACAGCAGTGTTGGCTTCCTCTTGTAGGGAGCCCCAAGAGCTCGCCCACAGAATTCCCACAGGGTCCCAGCTGACTTCCCGAAGCTTGTTCATGGACGTATAGAGGAAGTAAATCATGCTGTTGAGCAAGACAGGCATTTGTAACATTAGGTGGCATTCGGGCCTCTTCTGACCTGCAGCTCAGGAGTCCAGCTTGTATACAGTTGCTGTTAGAGGTACATCCCTTGGTCAGAGAAATGCATCATGAATGAATAGCCCACGTTCCTATTGTCTGGGACCAAAAAATGAGCCATCTGCAACTGGAGTGACCACCTTAGACATGTGAAGTGGCCATAGAGCTGGCCAGTGAATGTCAGGGGTAGACTTTAAAACCAATCTTCCTGGCTCCAGATCTACTGCTCTTGCCCCTATACCACCCTGATAACAACCCTCTCATTTTACAGATGGGTAAACTGAGGCCTGGAGGAAAAAGGATCTGCCCAAGTTCACAAGCATAGGAGCCAGGGCTAAGAAGCCAGATTTCCTGAGGACCAAGGCCTTCTCCCCATCCCCCTTTCCTTTTTTGGTTAAATCCAGAGAGGAAAAGGGGATGATCAAATGAGGAAATTCTGCCCCAGACTCTTGAGGGAGTAATTCATTCGAAAAACCTAGGAAATATTCAGCATGTCTATGGGAATTTTTATATTTTTTTCCAGCCCTTCCCCCCCCAAAAAAAAAAAGTTGGAACACAAAGAGAAATGTCTGGGCCAACATCTTGTTTGTCTTTTGGGAAAGAAACATTTCGTATAATTAAGACTTGCAATGGAAAATCCAGCAGTGAGGGAAACTCGCAGCCATGGCATAAGCTGTCTGCTTCCTCCTACGGTTTTCAGGACAAGAATTAGCCGTAGCCACTTCCCCGCTTCGGTGGCCCAAGTGCCGTTTCCCACAGCCCCTCATCCGGGGGGCCGGGTTCTTGGCCGGTCCCTCTCGGACACATGCCGCTGCCAGGGCTCTGCGTGAGTTGGTGAGCTTTGGATGCTCTCCCTGCCCCCCTCTCGTGATGGTGAGTTTCGTATGAAGTTGGAGCCGCTGCTTCCCGTCGCCCTTGTCTTCTGCGCCATTAATGTTTACATTTTGATATGCATGTGTGCGATTTCTGGGGTTACATGCTTGCCTCGGTTGTGCTGAGAATCCTGGGCACCAAGCCTTTTTACATGTCGAATTTATAGA